AACTGGAGCTGAAAAAATGCAGACATTTCAACAACACTTGAAATCTCTACAAATCAACCATGAATTACAGGAAAGAAAAACAATGGGTTTTGGTACATTATAGCCTTTGCAGTTTCCAGACTAGAATATTAGAAAAAAATCTATGGAGAGATCTCAAAAGTCCTCTCGTGAGATAGGCAATCTATGTGATTAATTAATAAATAAAAATGTAGTAAGGGAAAAGGCTTAATATATTTGAGCCAGAAGAGAGGAAGAAAATCTAAATATAGGAATAGAAAGACTTGATCACCAGGAGCAGGAAACACTTGGAAGATGTTATTTCTGTCAAGGGAAGAGTTAAAAAAGTGAAAGATATGTACCTGCCATATTCAGTTTTCTAATTTTGAATCTGTGAACAACTGCTTCATAAAGAGTAAACAAGTATTCACATTTATAGAAATATGCTAAGTATAAATAGCTTTACACTATGTAGATGTGTCTGCTTCCATTTACTTACAGATTCATTAAAACATATAAATTTGAAACGGTGCCTAAAATTTTGTACGCAACTATCTATATACCTACGATCTGCATTATTTTGCTCCAGTGACATTACTGGATAAACTATGAAGTCAAGATTTTCATGCTTCATAAAGTTAGTTTTGGAATTTGAAGAGTGCATTGGATTCAGGTGAATTCTGAGCTGAATGGCTATATTGTATCATTCTGTACTCTAACCAAAGTAGGATCTCAGTGAAGTACTCAAGATTGAATAAAGATTTTAAAGAGGCTTCCAAATTATCTGATGATTTCGAATACTGCATAGGGAAAGTCATTTGTCTGGGAGCAATACTAACTTGCCTTCTAATTAGCTAGTGCTTTAATTGTCACCTTACAGGGGAGATGGGCAACATAAAAATTTAATAAAATAACAAAATAAATTGTTCAAAATTGTTTACATACACAATTGCATTGTATTCTGTTTCATAAGTTAAATAGGTTTATTTTAGAGATCCAAAATCTATAATTTCCCACCATTCTTCCATTGGCACTTCTAGACTGGGGGTTTTAGGAGTACCTGTGAAAATACATTATGCAGCTATTCTGTCTTTTCTTCCTCAATTTTTGTGGTAAGAATAAAAATACTTAACATACTCTATGGTGGAAATAAAAAAGTAGGGGAATAAATAGAATACTCAGTGAGCAGGACTACAAGGATATGTGATGTCCCTTTGGTTGCTTAACACAGTAATGGATAAATGTATAAGGAATATTTGTTAGTGTATTGGTTGAGAACAGGTATACACATATGCTTTTGTGAACAGATAATGCTGAATTGTTGACTGAGAACTTGAAAGACTTGCAGTAAATATTAGAGGAAATGTATGATACAACAAGGAATAGGATCTGAAAGTGACTGTCAAAATGTGTGTGACAGGGAAAATAGCATTATTACAAGTTATATATAAATGGTGAAACAACTAGAACAAGTAGATGAATTCATGTATCTTGGGAAAATATTGACAAAAAATAGAAAATGGAAGAAGAAGCATTGAATGTGTAAATTCTGGAAGAATGATAGTAGTTAATATGTGGCCTGTTGGAAGGAATATTTGTTGAAAGAAGCAAAAATACCTTCATATAAGAGTAGGCTTCAATCAATTGTTAAATGGAAATGAGATAGCTATGTTAAGAGAATCATAATAATCCATTGATTTCAGTGGAAATAGGATACTTAAATCTAAGTAGGCAAACAAAAAGGGAAGGGTCAAAAATGACTAATTCAGTGGTGGCGAACCTATGGCACGGGTGCCAGAGGTGACACTCAGAGCCCTCTCTGTGGGCACGCGCGCCGTCGCCCCAGTCCTAGGCCTTCAGCTGGGTTTTATAAAACCTTTTTGCTTTAGGCTTCCAACGCTGTGTGCAAAAAAAAAAAAAAAGTTCAATCAATCAGTTTCAACTTCTCGTGGGAAAAAAAAATCTTGCATAGTTGGAATTGATTGATTAAACTTTTTAGTCCCACCCAGTCTGCCATTACCACCACAGCCATGCCCAGCCAATGGGCCACACCCACCCGGCACCTGACGATGCATAAGTGGGTTTTGGGTTGCAATTTGGGCACTCGGTCTCTAAAAGGTACGCCATCACTGGACTAAGTGCTCTGAGTTGAATGTGGATTAGTACAGAAGGATGTGAATGACCAGTATGAAAGAAGTACACTGAAGTGGTATGGTACTACAGAGAGAATGAATGAGGACTGAAGTGTAGAACAAATACATGGAGGAACAGTAAATGAGTTAAGAATAGTGAGAAAGTGATCCTTTGATGGATTTGATGAAATCCTTAAAAGAGAAAGAGCTTTGAGAGAGTATGATGTGGAAATTAAGGCCACAAATCTTCTTGAGCCAGGCACTCTCTCTTAGCCCTAGCCTAGAAGGAGGCAATGGCAAATCACTTCTTGCCAAGAAAACTGAAAGGAGTAGTCTCAGGATTTATACCAGGAGTCAATACTGACTCAAAGGTACAAAAAAACTCAGGAGATTTGAAGTGTAAAAAACAAAAAGCAATGTATGAAACAATATACGAATGAGGTTAAAGCAATGATAACTTGCAAGTATTGAAAAGTATGGAGAAATACAATGAATGGTGTTTGTGTAAAGGAGTATTAGCTACATTTTCGTTCCTTTTCATACTCTTCCTACACTGTATATATGTTGCTTACCCTGAAATGAAGTAGTGTGATGGGTATGTATGTATGCATATATTTCATATGAGAAAATGAAGTATGTTGAATATGAAAATAAGCCCGCTGTCTTTTGCATATTTATTTGAAAATAATTTATACATCTTGCTATAACATAACTACATTATTTGGCAGCAAGTATTGCTTAACGCAGCAGAATTTCAGATATTTCTGGATAACACTTTTATTATGTATTTAAACAGTTTTTTACCAGCAATCCCTATCTCAATTCTTATTTGCTCAAAGTTGTTTGGAAGCATATACTGTACATACAGAACAATTTATTTGTAATATTTCTCACTACTTCCATTGGTGCCTGCCAAGTAACCCAATCTATCAGAATATATTGTATGCATTCATTCTATTCTTAATTATTTTTTGTGGGAAGAAAATATGGAGGGGAAAAATACAAAATGAGTTCTAAGTGTTTACTTTTCTGGTAAACACCCATCAGTGAAGCAATTGTACAATATAGCTGGAAATTAACTTTTAAAAACTTGTAAACTGATGAGGCCAGAGATACCTGTGGCCAAACCCTCTCTTTTTTTAAGTCTGTAGCCAGGAATTAATGGCTGAGCATCTTGCATCATCCTCGGCCACGGTGTGATTTGTTTAGTAGCACGCTTGGATGGATGAACGCTGCTGGTAGGCTCGGGAGATGCTTGGAAAATACTGGAGTAGAAGAACAGTTTCCCGGGGATCTTCGCCTCAACTAGAGACAGGCATCTGTCGGGGACCTGTAATGGGGAGCCCCATAGTGGCCAGGAGGCTAGAGGCGACGGCCTAAATGGCTCCTTCCAACTCTATTACTGCAGCTACTGAGTGCTATTATTTAGCAAATCACGGTTAGGCGTTTCAGCGCGGTGCACGAACTACCGTACCGGCCCGACCAGGTGGACTAGTCCCTTGGGGATTCCCCCCCCCCCATGTTCCGCTGTCTTCCCGGCTGCCGTGGTTCTTTTATCCCGGGGCGTAGGAGAAGTCCCATCAAACTTCGCGAATGAGGCGAGGGGTTCGTCCCCGTGGCCAGGCTGCGAGTAGGGAGTGCCTGTTTACCTGCCCCTTCCCTTCTCTTCTTGCCGGCGTTCCTTCGAGGCTGCAGCGTAGGCAAAGTCTCCGAGAGGATGGACGGAGGAGCGGCGTCCCTTTCTCCGCCTCAGCCCGCCGCCCGGCGAGGCAGGGAGGCCACTTTCTTCCCCGCTCCTTCCCCACCCCGGCGGTAGCCCCAGTCCCGGCCTGGCTGCCATTGGCTTAGCGGCCCCATCCGGGCATTTGGCGCATCGCTGCTGCTCAGCCGGAGCGCTCCCAATATGGCGGAGGTGAGCGGGGAAAGTGGGTAGGGGCGCTGGGGTCCGGCCGGTTCCTGGGCGAATTCCGCGGTGGGGCGGCCCCTTCAGGCCGCTCCGACACCCCCATAACTCCCTCCCGATGGTCGGAGCCCCAGCAAGGAGGCCTCGGGGGGCGGCTGGGGGCTGCGCAAGCTACTTGCAGCGGAGAAGCACAGCCTGCGCGACTAGGCCGCGGCTGCCTCAGTCCGTCCGTCGGTCCGTCTGCCTGTAGCTGTCTGCTGAGCGCTCTGCCGGTCTCCACCCACAGTCCCGGGAGCGGAGAGGTCTCCTTTCTCGGGTTCCGCGGTGGTCGGAATCCGGGATGGAGATGGGTTGGCTGGGGTGAGATGAGGAGGGAGACGAAAGAGGCGACGGAGCGGTGAGATTCTCCGACGGGCAGCCCGCATCTTTTGGTCGCTCCTTTTTAAGCTGCCCCTGTCACCTCTCGGGCGGGCCCGGCCGGGATGGAACTGTTGTCAAGGCCCGGGTCTCGCGTTGGGGACGAGGCGGAGGAGTTGAAAAAGAGGAAGGTTGGAGAAAGAGAGGCAACTCGGGCGGAGGAAAGGGGAGCCTAGAAGAGGGACCAGAGGAGAGGACCGGTGGGGCTGGGGGGTTGGTGGTGGGGGAAAGCAATGAAGGGATGCTAATAGCCGAAGAAGGGAAAAGAAAGAAGTTGGAGGGAGAAAGGGAAAAAAAGATGGGGAAGTGTGTGTGTGAGAGACAGATTGAGTAATTAGGGGTTGCCTTAACATTTTCCTTTTATAAGACCACTTTTTCCAAGTCTCTCTGGCCAGCTTATTTGTAACCTGTTTTTTCCTCCCTCTCCCATTGCTTGTTCCAGGCTTCCTTTGGGAGTTCAAGCCCAGGTTTGTCCTGTTCAGTTCCTTCTTCTGTGATTCCGGCAGTGGGAAGCTTTTGGGTACGGCTGAGGGCCAGGGTACAGGCACATCTATCAAAGATGTTTTGTGTGTTTTCTTGATTATGTTAAAATGATTACTTCCGCCTTCATTGTCTGTAGGTGATGCTCAGTTGTTTTATCCTAAAACCACTGTTTGGTTCTTATTGAAAGTATGAAGCTCTTTGCAGAGGCATTTTGCCCTATAGAAATTCTTGTGATCAGTTTCAAATTGTTCTGTTTGATTTTCCAAACATTTATTGGAATGTTTGAATATGCAAGAAGCTTCAATTTAAAATATTGTTGGATAAAATTGTCTGTTGCTTCAGCGATCTGCAGACCTCCTGCTCCTTTATTAAGCATGATATGAAGCATACTTACTTGGAAGTAAACCATTTTCATTACTTTGATTTTGCAACATGAGTTAAAAATCACAGTCTTATTACCATATTTGCAGAAGTAAATTGGATTTACTATAAAGTTGTTAATGTGGGCTTTAGATCTTGTAACAATGCACTATTTTATTTGTACAAAGAAAAATAATATAATAAAAGTAGGGAATGAGATTAGACTAGATGCTTTTGGTTCACTTAGTGGAAATTTGCCAATTTTTTGTGTGTGTCCTTCAACTTTATATACCTCCCCAATCCTCTTCCAAAGAGTTCTGTCAACTCTTTGGAGTAAAGTTGCAGGGTTGATGCTTAGCTAATAGATGTTGTTCCTTCAAAGGAAAAAAAAAAAAGCAAATGTAAACGTATTTGAAAGTAACTTTCATCGACAATAATGGGACCCAAAATCCCTGGGTAGAATAAGCTGTGTGGTGTACCTATACATATTCAGGAGAGTTGCATTGTGAAGCATTGATCTAAATGCTTCTTTAGTTTTAAAAAATAATGTTAATTTCTTTCTTTATAGGATGTTAATAAATTAAATAGAATGGAAATAGAAGCAAAGTTACTTTTGTCAGTGAAATTAAAGTGTAATTTATTTGTCTTATAATAAAATCAAAATTAAAAATATATCAGATATTTTACATATACAATAAATGTATGAACAGTCTTATAACATGTCTTTGATCAACTTGTTAGACAGTACATTATATTTTAAAATATTAACTAATTTGACTTAATCTTTCTGGGTATAATTTTGGAATTAGCCCCTTTGAATTCAGGATAAATTCTGAGTAGACAAGAGTAGGACTATGCTATCAAGGTATTCTTCATTAAATATACACATTTAATAATACATGTATATGTAAATATAAAACAATTTCAAAGGCACTTCAAATACATTTTTTAGAAGAATTGTTAAAACTTCTCTCTAATGAAATTACAGTGCAGTGGTACACTAGAAATCTGATGTCTGGCGCAAGTTTGGATGGGTAGCATTCCCTCCACTTGCTTAGCATACTATGTGTGTTTACTTGGAAATAAGTTCACCACAATTCAGTAGGACTTTATGGGAAATGAGTTGAAAATATCCAGTTTTTTTAACTTGATCACCATGTTTTTCAGAAGTAAATCCACCTGATTGGACTGATAAGGTCCCCATGATGGCTCACGACAGTAAGCACAGCCCTTGGTATGCCTACAAAAACAATGTGATAGATCTGTTGCTGTGTTCCAAATGTTGGCCATTTGTCTAAAATCAGTCTTGGATTCTCTGAATCCAAAGCTTTTTTATTTCCCAAAATAGCTCCGTAGATCAGGCCCATCAGCTACATATGCCTGAGGGTTGCCTTGTTATCATCCATCTAGCAGACTGAGGAAGTGGCACATGATACCCCAGTTTACTCCCATCCCTTTGAAATTTATCTGTACAGCTGTAATACTTTATGCACATTTTTAGGAGTAAGTTCCATTAAATCATTATGGCTTACTCTGATAAAGGTGGACACAGGTTTGTATTAACTTCATAATCATGATCCAAATGTATTGTTACTTAAGATTTTTCATCTTACATTAGTACAGTATAAAATTTATTTAAGATCAATATTTATTCTAAGAATCATTTAATTAAAAAAATGAGCAAAATCAGCTGAAGTTAAGCATTATTGATTGCATCAATTTTAAAATAAGCTGTTTTATATTTTATGTACATTACTGAAAATTACAGCTTGTTTAGACATGGTTACTTTTGACAGTTTCAGGAAATTGAATTTATGTCATACATCTTTTATGTACAAGTGCAAATACTTTTCTTTAATAGGAAATGTACAATTTGAAGGCATTTGGTTAATTTACAATTATTAAAAAGAAAAATCATATTCACCTGAGTTGAGTTTGACATCCATGCTACACTCTTGGCAACAGGATAGAATTTGGTTGCTATTGGCTTCTTACCTGATAATTTTCAATTTTCAACCTTCCTATCTAGCTTACAGCCTTGAGCTTTCTTGGTGGTCTCCCATCCAAGTATAAACCAGGCTTATTATTGTCATAATCAGCTAGGTGTTTCCACCTGCCCATATTTATGATTTAAAAATGGCCATTCATTATCAAATATCTTTTCCTAAGTCTGCAAAACAGCACTGTATAACCACCTTCCCAAAGGGATATCCTGAAGCCATTGGGGCAATATCTTCCAGAATTCCTAGCACTTCAAGATCTAAAGAATAGTGTTTTGCACTGAACTGGTTCTGTAAACACAGTGGAAATCAGTTCTAACGTTTTTAGATAATTTTAGTACTTCCTCCAAAAATTCAGATAAGTTGGCTATTTTTTAACATTCTGAAATAGCGCTATTTTCCTGATACAGATTCTATAAGCTTCCACATACAAACTATTGTGCTTATTTCAGTTTCAGCATATTCAGTAATTCATGAAATCAAAATCAAGTAGCTAGGAAAATTATAGCTGCATTGCATAGCTACAGTGGAGTTAGGACTGGTGTAGCTAATACTAGTGCAGTATAAGTGGAAATATGATTATTTCAATTTTAGTGCTTTTGACAAAAGCTATAATAAAATTATTCTATTGTGTCAATTGAATGTGTTTGCTCCAGGGAAGTCCCTTCACTACTAATATAGAATTGTTTTAAAATAAGCATCAGTCTAATATTTGCTTTGATTTACTCTGCAGAATGTACAGCTGTACTTAAAATCCATGCCATGGTTGATACATGCATGTTTGGGGCATTTAATTCTTGAATTTTGGTAATATAACATTTAAGATATTAGTACCATTTGCTAAAGAAATTCACATTGTCTTTTTTTTAGTTGGCTCTCTGTCTTCTGAGGATCATGACTTTGACCCTACAGCTGAAATGTTGGTACATGATTATGATGATGAAAGAACTCTGGAAGAGGAAGAAATGATGGATGAAGGAAAAAATTTCAGTTCTGAGATTGAAGACTTAGAAAAGGTAAGACTTCTTTTCCTAGAAAGAACGCATCTAGAGGTTTGTTCTTAAACATCATTTGAGAATGCTGCATTCTACAACTTTTGAGGCAACTATTTACACCATTACATTACCACTACTATTTACACACTACAGGCCAATAAATAATTTCTGGGAACAGCTATTAAAAAATAACTGGAAAACCTATTTACATTATCAATATAAATGAGGGAACTCAATGTTAGTGCAACTTCTTTTTGGAATGAAGTATTAGCTCCAAAGATAAATGTAATTATTATATAATTTGCATGTAATGAAACATAGGTTGCTTTGTGGCACTGTGTTGGGGTCTCTTGTTTGTTAAGAAAATACTTTATTTCTATTTCAATGTTAATTATGCATGCTAGATTGTAAACTAATAGTTCAAATTGTTAAGGGGATTATCTGTTTCAATAAACAATGAGGTATTAATAAATATTTTTACCAATAGCATAATTTCTATTTAATTATTTAAATTACTTTATTCTCAACATATGTGCAAAACCATATAATCTTCTACAAATGTCAATTTATTTTCTCTTTATTAAAAAAAACAACAACTCAGGAAGGAAGCATGCCATTAGAAGATTTACTAGCATTCTATGGTTATGAACCTACAATTCCTGTTCTAGCAAGTTCCAGCGCAGATAGTTCCCCAAGCGAACTTGCAGATGAACTTCCAGATATGACTTTGGATAAAGTAAGTACTTTTAGCTGTTGTCCTAAAATGCAGGCGATTCCTAGGTTCTATTATTATCATGACTTCATTCCATTGAGAGATTACATTCTTTTATTACCTGACTATGAACCTGAAATTAATTATTCTTTAAATTTCAGCAGGTTGTAGTTCTAGGCATATTTAATTTGGAAGCCATTTCTGTGAAAGCATGGGATGGATATGTGAGCAACCCTAGCTTTAAGTAGAATAGCAGAATTCAGAATGAAGAGTGGACATATCCGTAGTATTGTAGAGTTTTAAAAAATAGATTATCAGTGCACAGCAAGATATTACAGCTTTAATATAAATTTACACTAGGATACAATGTGACTACTACATCAAGTGCTATTTTGTATAAGGTTTTTTTTCTTTTGTAAAGCAATTTTTTTAAAAAGCAGGTTTTTAAATATTGTTTGGGAAACTGGTGTTCCAATTGTCCATTAGCTAACAAAAATGTGCATATGTATATAAATGCATTCGAACTCTGTCTTTTGTCTATCCATCTATCCACCTACCTACCCTACTTACTTACCATCTACCTGGACATATACATATTCAGAGAGAGAGAAAGAGGAGTAAAATTTGCAGGGAAATTAAAGTATTCTATATGTTGGAAGCAGGTATTTCATAGAAATTAATGTGGAAGGTTTTGAATGATTTCTTAAAAATATCTTTTTAAAAATATCACTAGAACAGGATGAAATTCACAAGAAAGTTAGATAGCTATAAAGAGATAAAGAATAACAAATTTATTATGCATTAGAGTAAAGGATTTCAAACTAAGCTTTACTTTCTAACTTTATAAAAATACCCATATTTATTTTGTTTTGAAGCAGACGGTAATAACATTTGCAGTGAAAAGGATTCTAAGTGAGGTAGTTATATGATATTTTACTCAAAACTAGATTTTGCTCAAAGGAAAAGAGTGATGACAAAATGGTTGGCTCAGAGCTGATTGTTATGTAAGATGTAAAAAAAAAAGATTAATTCACTGATATTTTTATTTTACATAAAAAGTATAGTTCTTAAACCAGCCAGTTAGATAAGAACAACCATAAAAATTCTTGCAGTTTCTACAAAAGAGACAGAAAAAAATAAGCAAATAGTTGAACTAAAATTCTTTCAAGTTTTTTCTTCACAGATTGAGAAAACCAATGTAATCTGATTGTAGTGATTCCGTGATCAGAGAACAGATATATTAGTCACTGAATCCAGTCCATCTCTCCCTGTCCATTTAGTGCATTAATGTACATTAGCGCACTACTGTAATCAAACAGCATTACAAATATTTTTTCACTCTTTTTCATGCAGAGACAGTTTATTTGAGGATTTTGAATGAAGGATAAGGCATATTAGGCTCTTCTGCCCTGCCTTGGTTAATTTCAACATGACACCTTGAAGTGAAAAATCACACTGAATTGCTCCCTCCCCTCCCGGCTCTGGATTCTTGTTGAATCAGAATTCGGCTTTATTAGTTAATTCTTCAAGACATAAATGATACTAGTGATTGATTCTTTTGATTGTAGGAGGAAATAGCCAAAGACCTTTTGTCAGGAGATGATGAAGAAACACAGTCTTCTGCTGATGATTTGACACCATCGGTTACTTCACATGAAACAACAGATTTTTTTCCTCGACCTTTAAGATGTAAGGAAATATAATCAGTATCCCAAATTAGCTATATTAAAATTGTGAAACTGTTAGTCATCTATCTTGGTTTGAAGAACAAATTCTGCTGGACTTGGTACATTTCCAAAATTTTATATTATTCCATTTTGTTGTACTAAGTGGTTGTAAAAATAAAGTTAAGAATGTCATTGATAGGATTCTAACATGGTGCCAGAGTAAATCTATGCAAAAGGAGAGAACTTCTCCTTCAGAGAATTATGATCCTATTTATGGCAACCAATAGTTTTGTGACAAGAAAACAGTGCTGTTTATAAATGAATATCAACTGAACTTTTCTTTAGTTTCATCTGAACTTTTTCCTCCAAATTCAGCCCCTTACAATCTCAATATTCTGGTTCAAGACACCCAGAGCATCTTTTGCATGGTCTGGATTAACAGTGTATAATTTGAGTATTAATGTATTAATGATATCTCACCCTAAAGCAAAAAGAGTCATTTCATATGGATATTAAAAAAACATAGGGGGTGAGAATTGAGCTCTGATATTCTACCCTCAGTAACTACAGGCTCAGTTGCATTGTCTCATAACTATTGACTAGAATTGCCCAATCAGAAATGGAATTACTGTAGAATTGTGCCTTCAAATCTCAGATACCATGGTTGGCAATATTGAATGCAGCCAGTAGGTCTGCATTTCCCTCACTAATCTCAATGAAATCCAACTAACAAAGCAATCAGTGCTATTTCCATCCTCTGACTGAGTTGAATCCTGTTTAAAAGAACTAGATAATTAGCTTTCTTTAGGATCTTTTCTAACTGAGTCCATATCATGTTCTTAACATCCTTAAGAAAGATTGGACGCAGTTAGACACAATTTGTCTAATATGGCCAACATATTCCTTAAGAGCAGGCAGCATCACGGCTTCTCTCTGGATACATTGATCACTTTCCAGTCCAGCCATACTTATCTTGCTTAGTCACAGAGAGGAATTAAAAACAACATGGGTGCAGTCTGCAGATGGTACAGCCTATCCATTTCCTTGGGTTCTACAATCCCAGATCACATTGTCTCATGTAACCCCATTCATCTCATGTGGTTCTGCCCATCGAGATTTGGGCAAAAATAAGCAATTGTACCTGCAAAGAAACAAATCTTAGAAATGTGATGAACTCTTTAAGTAAATGTAATTTTGAAATGTAAGATTGCCATAAAAGCTATTATTTAGCCAGAACGTCAGGGCCAGGATATTACATGAATTCATTCTGATAGATGGAGTGCATGTTGGTATGCCCCAAATAATTTGTGATTGGAATGCTGTGATTTTGTTTTTACTGCCTGGAGTCACATTTTGCAAATTGGGTGACTATATAACTTGATTGATAGATATGTAAGCGGAATGAATGTTTGTGATTAGTTATTTTTAGGTAATGATATGCTAAAGATAAAACATATACAATATAAGGTTAGGGACGGCAGGGTTTGCAATTTCAAAATGTTTCCATTTCCAAAAGGCTTCTCACTGCCTTAAAAGTGTTTTGATGCTTTTCAAGCTATTTTGGAAGTGTGTAAAGATATAAACAGATGTTTTGAGCTCAAACAGGGCCTCTTCTATGCTTCCACCATCCACAGTCATCTGATTGGAGTGATACAAATATGTAGTTACTAAATATAGCTCTTAGCTGTGGACATGGACATTGAACATGGGAACATGTTCAGAAGTTGGATGTGATTCGAGGGAGACTTTGTTATATTTCAGTATTACATTAAAATTATTAAATAATTGCCTGTTAACATTCCTTTTCTATTGTAAAAAGCAAACACTACCTGTGATGGTGATAAAGAATCTGATGGTGAAGATGTGGAAGTAGATACTGGTAATTCATCTGAAGATTTGCGAAAGGTAATTCTTAAAATACTATGTAGTAATATACAGTTTTTTAATGTGTTCTATATACTTAACATATGTAAAGACTGAAATCAAGATGTATAAAATGTCTTAGAATTACATTTATCGCTGGCCTCAAATCTCCAAACTTGTATTTGCTTTTGAAAGTATTTTAGTTCCCCATTTCAACTGTAACCTAAAAGATAGAAGATCTGTCTTTAGTGTATTGTTTCTAAAGTGAATTTTGTTGTGATCCCAGTATGAGCCTGAAAATATTTGTGGATTTGGATGTTGAGAAATGTATGGTTATAATGCTACATGTTCTAATTTTTTTCAGGAAATAATGATTGGTTCACAATACCAAGCCGAAATACCACCTTTCTTAGGCAAAAGTTGCAATGATGAAAAAGGTAATTAATATTTTTTAATTAAATGGTTAGATTTGAAAATAATTGTTTAAAATATATTAGCAATTAAAGTAAAAAAATTAAAACATCAACAGACTTGTTCTGTGCACTTGGATATTACATATTTGAGTTCAGGATCATGAGGCGGAGCATATTTGGTTGACTTATCTTGAACTTAATTTATGAATTGGTTTTGAGTGTTTAAATGAAGTATGCTACAGAGTACTATACATATTAAAAAATTGCTAAGAAGTACAATGAGACCATATTTTAATAGGCCTGTTGAAGAGAGGGGTATCTGTTACTTCCAAATATCTATTAAATGTGAAAGGATGTCATTGTGTTTGTCATGCAGGGTGGATAATAATTGATTATTCTTTTTTAAAAAAATGGATTTTTTAAAATTTAAATCGGATTTTTTTTATTTTTATCAAATTTATTTTAATAAAATGCTTTTGGAATAAAAATCTATCTAAATATAGTTTTCTAATTAAGATACATTAATAATTTAGTTTATTCAGCATGAAATGGAGCTTAATTATGTAGCATGAGGCATATTTACATTTTTGGTAAACTCATTCAATGAATCCAAACTTTGCAAGCTGAGATAACATGCACTGCATTAATGCATTTACACAATTTCAGAGTAACAATGAGATAAATCATAAAACAAAGTTAAGGAATATTCTTTTATCCCATTGTTTTGCAAATCTGTGTACACTACAAACTGTATGATTGTTTGAAGAAAAATGCATCTGTACCAGGCTCTTTTTATTTAATTATTTTAATTAAATAAAAGAATTTAAATAGTTCTCCAACTATCGTGTTTCCTCAAAAGTAAGGCCTGGTCTTATTTTGGGGGGGATGTCTTATATTTTTTGTGACACCTTCCTCACCTTATGGTGGCAGCACCAACAGCCCTATCCAGCAGGCGCCCACATAGTGGCCAGCCCACTTCTGCGGCTGCTTGCAGCAGGAGGCTGCATGGTACATTGTGCCGCTGCCACCACAATAAGGTGAGGCAGCTGGGGAGGGGGTGGAGCTGAACCACACACCTCTCACTCGCTTACTTCAGGGCCCCACCAGGCAGGGCATTCCTCGGCGACCTTCCCTTTCACTTCTCTCCTGAGCCGGACTGCCATGCTACGGAGGATGGGCAGGGTAGGCCTGGTCCCCCTCCACTACTTTGGAGCGAGGGGGGAATGATGGCAAAAGGCTCCGCTGCTGCTGTGCGCCACTGGAGGGGCTTTCATCTGCCCAGCGACAGCTACCTCCTTTTCCTCCACCAACTCTCCCTAAAAAAAGTTCAGTCAGACATTCCAACTTCTCAAGAGGTCTTTTTTTCCGCGAGAAGTTGGAAGGTCTGACTGAAGTTTTCTTAGTCCCACAAACTCCGTTTCTCTGCAGCTGGAGAGAAATGCGCCAGAGCTGGAAAGCAGATTAGTGAAGAAATGTTTTCGGGAAAAGAGAGGAGATGGGCGGTGGTACACCAAACTCTACAGCAGCGCTGGGAGCAGAAGCAGCAGGAAACGGGGCTGCCATTTCCAGAACAGAGAAGGGAGACGAGGGGCGATGCAGGGCAGCAAGCAAGTGCTCTTCTCTGCATCGCTGTGCAGAGCCGCTGCCCTCCCCGTTCTCCATTATTTCCAGTGGCGGCGACAGAGGGCTGGCAGAGGAAGGCAGCAGGGGAGTCTTACGCTGTCCGGTCACTGAACATTCTTATCAGTAAAAAGGCAGTAATACTTCCATTTATTTAGTTAACAAATAGGTGGTATTTGAAGATGACTAAAATCAAAGGCTTTCTGGACTGTTCATAGGTTAAATATTAGCATTTCAATCACATCCCTGTCTTTCACATAGATTGGACTACAGGCAGTTCTCAAGTTAAAATAGCATTTGGGATTGGAATTTCTGTTGTTAAGTGATGCACTTATAAAGCATGATGCCACATAGCTGCTTCTCTTAGCAATTACAATTTCTGCAGTCCCCTTTGCTGTTGTTAAATGAGAATTGTAGAACATTAAGCAAGCATCTCCTCTCAACTTCCTGCTGACTTCCAACAACCAGAGTCAGTTGGGAAGCCAGCAGGAAGTTGCTGCTGCAGGGCAGGGGAGGGAACGGCGGGGGGGGGGGTGCGAGTGGCCACAGAAGTGACATGCAACCATAGCAGCACTTGGGGGTGACTACTGCCAAATGTGTGAAGGTGTATGAATGGTGGGGGAGTTGCAGCACAAAAGTGGTGGGTCTAAAAGTGGCTATTGCTGGGTGGAAGAATGTGTGCAAGTGGCAGTGGAGGTGTGCTGTGCCACAGCAGGGCTTGGAGTTGCTGTTGAATGGGAGAGGGTATGTGAATGGCTGGAGAGGCAGTGAGGCCTTCAGGGAGGTTGCATGGATGGGGGATGGGGACAAAGAAATATCTTTCCAATACCACCCCCCTCCTCCCAATCCTGTGAGAACTAACCCTTCAATCACTACCACCACCCCTATCTTGCCAGAACTGATGAAGCTTCTTGGATAAGAAGCGAAACTTCTTGATCTTCTTCCTCAAGGAAAAAAACAGTCCATTTGCCTTTTGAAAAAACACCTTTCAGTTCACTGCCTTGAGTTATTTGTAAAAATAATAAAGAAAGGGTACAAATAAATAAAATTCCAAAATGATTATTTTCACACATTTATTTTATTTTATACTTGATCAAGGTATAGAAAAATACCTTTGATTATTTTAGTATTGAGTTTGATGCATGCTAGAATTTTCAAAAGATACAAGCAGGGTTTCTTACTTGACTATGTTCTTTCTTCAGAATAGAAAAATAATTACTTTTTGTGTTTGCATTGCTCTCTTATTTTAGATAATCCTGTGGCAGACTTTCTACTGGCAACTAAGTATTTTGTAATTATTCATTATAATAATCTAAAATTAAGTTGCCAGTAGAAAGTTTGCAAGATAAAATAAAGATGCAGGTTACAACAAAATGAGTTGCTTAAACATTTACATAGAAAAATATATATCAGTGGTGGCGAACCTATGGCACGGGTGCCAGAGGCGGCACTCAGAGCCCTCTCTGTGGGCACGCGTGCCATCGCCCCAGTCCTAGGCTTTCAGCTGGGTTTTATAAAACCTTTTCGCTTTAGGCCTCCGCTGCTGTGTGCAAAAAAAAAAAAAAAAAGGTTCAATCAATCAGTCAATTTCAACTTCTCACGGGAAAAAAAGATCTTGCAAAGTTGGAATTGATTGATTGAACTTTTTAGTCCCACCCAGTTTGCCATTACCACCATAGTCATGCCCACCCAATGGGCCACACCCACCCAATGCACCACACCCACCCGGCACCCGACAATGCATAAGTGGGTTTGGGGTTGCAATTTGGGCACTCGGTCTCTAAAAGGTTTGCCATCACTGATATATATAGTTGTTTTTTAAAATAATATTTTAAAAATGTTATTAAACATTTTATGTTATTATTAAACTTAAAAATGCTACAGTTGATATTTTTGAAAAACACATCTTAATAATTTGTGGTATCATACATATACTATATAGCAGGAGTATAACAATATAGCTCCACAGAAACACTGGGGGAAATGAGTATGTGTATCCTTAAGAACACCGAAGAGATATGACAACAAATATCCCCGGAGAAAAGTCTGGATCTTTATCATACCAGAATGTAGGCCATAAAATGTTATTTTTAAAACATATTCTTATACATTGTATATTTTCTTGCATGTATTAGTCCCCAGATTACTGGGGATTGCTGGATTACTAGGCAGTTGGTCTCATTCATATTTTGATATTTCTTAATAGCATATGAAAATGAGGACCAGCTACTTTGGCAACCTGATATTATTTCAGAAAACAAAGTTAAAGAGTACCTTTTTGAAACTTCTGTAAGAACTGGAAATGAAAAAATAATTGGCAGAATTCCTGATGGAGTGCATACCCGGGACAATGAACAAGTATGTTTTAATTTTATTTCTGTACAATTGCCAGTCTAACTTATTTTTTATACTTAGGTTTGCAAAACAAATAAGTTTTCTTTTTTCTATTTTTCTATTTTTTAAGCTAGTTAGTATTTTATAACTATATCACATCCTGTTCTACGGCTTTAAAACATTTTCCATATACAACATATATAAAGGGTCAAAGCTACTTTGTTAATAGAAGGATTTAGTTCATTTTTGCTACCCAGATGATTGTTGGGGACAATATGTTGACTTTGTAAACTGCTTAGAGAGTGCTGTAAAGTGCTATGAAGCGATATATAAGTCTTAAATGCTATTGCTGTTGCTGCTGTTGTTTAGATCCAAGGAGATTCAGACCAGAGGAGGGATGAAGGGGAAGCAATGTTCATTGGTTTACCTTTTCCCTATGGGGCATCTCTCAGTGTTCTAAATAATATTTTGTCCTTTGCTGCCCCCCCCCTTCACTCCATTTACATGGGAGCTTCATCTTATTGATTGCAGGAGGAGAAAACTTTTTGCAATTTTACCTTCTCTTAGTAGTCTCTGGCAGTCTCTTCTGGAGACTCAAAGGACCCTCCAAAACAGCACAGAAAGTAGTGTTCACTCTCTTCTTCCACAGTGTTTTACCAATAGGATCTTTCTGCTAGATCACAGCATTTAGTTAGGAGAGATTTTGATCCAGCCTATTATCTGTTAACACTGTACAAGGTTTTATTAAAAATGGATAAATAACCTTGTAATAGAAGCATTTGACTGACATGAGATTACAGCTGCTGGGTTGTGTATGTTCCTTTTGACTGGTTAAACAAGAAATATTGCAATCTCTACTAGGCACTCTATGAACTCTTCAAGTGTAACCACAATTTAAAGGAAGCTATTGAGAAATACTGCTCAAATGGAAAGACATCACAGGGTAAGTTCTCTATCAAGAGGGTTGGTATGTTAAATAATGTTAAATCATAAAGTGCAGACATGGATTGTGGTGACTGTGTTGTTCCATATAGTTCCTCAAATTTTTGTAATACCACGTTTTCCCAAAAATATGACCTGGTCTTTTTTTTTTTGCCTCCAAAAGAGGTGCCAGGTCTTATTTTCAGGGAATGTCTTACCTGCTTATCTTAGGACTGCTGCAGCCAGGCCTCCCATGCCCTGGCACCTGTTGTGGTGCTGCCTGAGTTCTGCAACTGCATGCCACGTGGCGCATCACGCCGTTGCCGCCACTCGCAGCAGGAGGTTGTGTGGCTCATCTCGCCAATCACGCCGCCATTCATGGCACCATCCTGCAGCGAGCAATGACACAATCGGTGTGACGAGTCACAGGGCCTCCTGCTATGAGTAACGGCAACAGCGCAATGTGCCATGTGGCGTGCAGCCACAAACAGCTGCAGAAGAACTCAGGCAGCAGTACAACAGATGTCGGGGCATGGGAAGCCTGGCTGCAGCGGTCCTAAGATAAGCAGGTGCGGGGCACGTGGGGTGGCTCCATCCCCCTTGCTTGATTTTTACACGTGCCGCACTCAAAAACTAGGGCTTATTTTGGGGATGTATTAGACGCCCATGTGAATTTCAAACTAGGGCTTATTTTTGGGATAGGTCTTATTTTTGGGAAAACATGGTAGCAGAACAAATTGCAGCAAAGCAATCAGTGATGCAACAGTAGCAGCTGGGATATTCCATATATTTAGATAACTAAAGAAGGCATTCAGTCTCCTGGAAGATTCTGTTGCATAAGATTGAAGTTCTGATCTGTATAACTTGAGTCACTTACACTTTTATAGACAGACATTCACCAATCTTTATCACTGTTGCAATACTAGTCAGATAACAAGAAGGAATGCTTGAAACAATGAAATTGTGTGAAATATACAGTTACGTGTGCATGACCTCATCATTAGCTGTAAGTGTTCTTCCCTGCCTATTGGACTCCTGCTGCAATTGATGGAATACCATTTCCACTTATGGCTTACTATTATTGACTAAGTTCACACTTCAGCCTAAGATATAAACTACAGCTTACAAATCATAGTACCTTCCAAGCACAAGGTAAGCAAAAATCAAGTAAACCATGTTATGGTTTAGTTTGCCGTATGAACCAGGCGAGTTTGTTGAAAAGCTTTTCTTTATTTTTCAAATGTTGAGACCAAATGCTTGCTGATTTATTAAAATATCAAATGCTCATTAGTTTCTCTCTTACTCTCCTTCTTAAGATATGACAGCTTGGACAGAAGAAGAATGTAGAAACTTTGAACATGCACTTCTGATATATGGGAAAGATTTTCATCTTATACAAAAAAATAAGGTGAGCAAATATAGAAATAATTTGTAAATGATAAAGTTGTTAACATTTGAGTAGTTAGATAAAATATGTAAAACAACATAAACAGCATATTTTTGCAACCAGTTGCTTTGTTTTTTTTAACTAAAATGTACTAGACATATTAGAGAAATATATAAACAGGGAAAGAAAAAGGACAAAAGAAGGGGATAAAAGTAGGATATAAATGAGTAAACAAGGGATTTACAAATTTTATAGAGATTATAATTTTCAGGTATATCACTAATTGGTCATTTGCATGTGAATTACCCATCTAGTAAATGAGCATGCCTTTGTCTAAACTATTTTAATTAGTTGCTCTACTTATAAGCATATTTTACTATTTCATTACTAAACATTACATTATCAATTGAAGCTTTTTGAAAATAATTTTATTATGGAGAACTAATCAACAAAATGAAAGTATATTATGAATAGCCATTTTAAAAGGACCTTGAAAATTAATGATATAAATAGATCAACTCCAAAAACATTGATTATATTGATGAAATTGTCTTTTGCTATGGTTAGATCACTTCTTGTCACCTGTAGATCGTGAACACTCTGGATTTTGCAAGAGCAGTGGATCCATTAGATTTGTCCATGTAAGCTCCTAATGGATCCAAAGAGTTTGCAGAGGTTTTGGAGGATTTCCATGATAATTTGACAGTTCAGTCTTGCACTTGGTCAGTTTGGAATACAGAGGCAGCCCAAGTGCTGGATAAGAATACTTTTGCACAGTCTCTGAACCAAGAAATTACCTGGTTTTCTGAGAAAAGGGAAAATAAGCGAATGAAAAGACCTTTAGAGCAACAATAGTGTAAGCGCAGAAACAAAATGCCCCAAAGCCCGTGTGATAGTGATAGTAGCAAGGAAGTGTCAGTTCTTTTCTGTGATTTTTACAGCTACAGACTCCTGCTTGGTGGTCCATACTGAATAACAGCAACCCTTTGAGGGTAGATAGGCAAATGCCTTCAGGCATATTGGAGGACTTCTTTATTTGTTTGTGACTATGGTCACTTACATCCAGTCTGGGTAGGTCATCAGTTGGGTAGATTCCACTGTGTTAAGTGATATCCTTTGTTATAGTCTGGGGTTCTTTCTTTGATCCATCGTTTGATAAATTTTGCTATATTTCCAACCCTCCCTTTTTAGAGTGTTGTTGAAAAGGTTTTGGCAAATCAAACATAGAGGGTTCTTAGAGGAAATGGATTATCTGGATCTTTTTCTGTCAATATTAAGTTTGAACTTGGGACAGAACTGGCATTGATTGCTCTGGTAATTATCTTTGTCATGGAAGACTATTGATCCAGTTAGATTCTGGTAACATTCAATCCTTTTGCTATTGTATTCTTCTGGACTGTCTCCAAGGGTTGGGAATTAAGAGTACTATTCTGTGGTCATTTCATTCCTAACTAGATGAGCAGTTCCAGTTGCAGGTTATGGTGGGGCAGAGTTTGAATCCCTGGAGTACTAATGTAGAGTTCCTTGGAATTGGATGCTCTCCCCCATGTTATCTATATAAAGATAATTCTCTCTCTCTCTCTCTCTCTCTCTCTCTCTCTCTCTCTCTCTCTCTCTCTCTCTCTCTCTCTCTCTCTCTCTCTCCTCTCTCTCTCCTCTCCTCCCTCCCTCCCTCCTTCCCTCCCTCTCCCTCTCTCTTAAAAACACTTTTCTTAATAAAACTTCATAGTTTTAAATATGGTTCATTGGATATCTTTATTCTTTTCTTTATATGACATAATATATTGACCTTTTAAGCATCCACAAAAGGTCAGTATATAACATTATATAAAGAAGAAAATGAAGTAATGCATTGTATGAGAACATGTAAAACTGTATTAGAACATGCTGTAACAAATTTAAAGTACTTGCACAGAAAACCACCATTTTAATTTACAGGTAGTCCTCAATTTATGATCACAATTGAGATCAAAATCTCAGTTCTTGAGCAAGCAGTCATTACGTGACACATCATATGATTTCTCTGCACAACAACTGCAACCCTGGCTCTCCCAGTTGCAGTTGTTAAGTGACCTTGTGAGTCTTAAGTTGGTAGAGTCTAAGGTAAGGAGCATGGGGTGTATTGCGGAAGGCCCATGCATACTGCACATGAAATCAGGAGTGTGCTACACTGTTATATGTCCTTTTGTTCCAACACTGTTGTTGAATTTTGAACAGCTGCTGAACAAATGGTCATAGGTTGAGGACCACCTGCAGTACATTCATTCTCTGCTTCTGCTAACAGCTGATGTGGTATTTGCAGAGGTATCATACTGTTAACCTGGAATCAAACCAGTAATTCATAGTCTTTCAAGTATTGACAATTTGCCAAGCATTTTATCATTTGTAATACTTTCCTATAAGAATTTACCACAAGTATTAAGACTAATTCTTTCTGTTTCTAGGTGAGAACCAGGACAGTTGCTGAATGTGTAGCATTTTATTACATGTGGAAGAAATCTGAACGATATGATTACTTTGCTCAACAAACAAGATTTGGAAAAAAGAGGTACAACCACCATCCTGGAGTCACGTAAGTTGAAAGACCTTGGAAGAACATTTGTGCTCAGTATCTCTTAGAATTTTCCACAATTAATAGTAGTTCATCATTATACTTTCCAAATGGAATTTGTTAAATAACCTCTCTCTGATCATTTTCTTGCAGGGACTATATGGATCGGTTGGTAGATGAAGCAGAAGCTTTAGGTGGTGCAGTTTCTTCAGCTATAATGTCAAATAATAGACTAGAGCCCATTCCTGATCAACAACTAAGCATCCTGAATTCAATCACTGCCAATGATTTGACAGGTAAATTAAAAGGTAAATTAGAAGAGCTTAGTATGACTATAGGTCAGGGGAAAATGGTTACATCTTGTATAACATCTTTTTCTGTCTTCTAGCACTGACCAATAGCGTAGCTACAGTCTGCCATTCTACAGATGTGAACTCAGAAGACGTCTTCCCACCTCTGGACAGTTTGCCTCGAACAGCAGTTAATCATGTGCCTGTCGTAACAGAAGATTTGCTTAACTTGCCTAGTAATGGTGAAAGTGATTGTTTTAATTTATTTGAGACTGGATTTTATCATTCTGAATTAAACACCATGAACATGTGCGGTGAAGACTCTGAACGGCCTGCCAAGAGATTGAAAATGGGAATTGCAGTCCCAGAATCCTTCATGAATGAAGTTTCAGTGAATAACTTGGCTGTGGATTTTGAGAATCATACACATCATATTACCAGTGCCAAAATGGCAGTTTCGGTAGCTGACTTCAGCAGTCTATCTGCAAATGAGACAAATGGCTTTATCAGTGCCCATGTGTTACACCAGCACACTGCCCTCCATTCAGAATGAATTCAAGCAGCAAATTAAATACAGTGAACACTGTTGGCAGTTTGTGGTAAACTTGATGAATTGATCAGGTTTGCTTAGTCTTTCACTGGAAGTTTGAACTATATGACATCAGTGATGTCTTTATGTACAGAACTATATCTTGATTTATCAAGAATAATTTCACTTTTTTCCAATCCATAAATGTGGAAACTTCATATAATATCTAGCAGAGTTCGGGACTAAGAGAACTATGTGGTACAGCTTTAAGCTCTGCTTCCTTTCTTTTTAAACCTGTAGAGAGACTGCTGTCTCAAAACCAGCACAGAAGTTCTGAACTTAATAGAGTGGGTTTTTGTTCTAGGTTGCTTCAGTCCTAATGGATGCAGTGGAATAATGTTTGTTTACAGGTACCAGTTCTGATCCTTGCTTAATGTAGCATTTTAAAAAAATCAAAAGCAGGGAAACATTTCTTTAATTTAAACTGCACAACTACACAAGGATATTATTAAATGGAAGCTTCTATCATCTGATATTAAACCAGAGCACTTCAGTTTACAAAACAACAGATTCATCTTGGTGGATATTAGCACAAAAGACAGAGCAAAGTCTAAGGACAACCTTAGATGCTCTTATAAAATTACAGGCCACGGCTACCTTACACAAAAATAATTATACTGTCCAAAGGTTTTGGGTACCTTAATGTATTGGCTGAAAAAATGTGTGTTATTGGAGCTGGGGTGGGAGATATCTATACTTCTAAGGAATAGAATTTGAAAACATCAAGTATTATCTAACACTGCTTAAAGACACTAAGAATGATACAATTTGCTCACTCCACTAATGAATTACATCTTGGGGTTTGTCGTTACTTCAGAACATGGTAATTCAAAATAGCATGAAAAATTCTAGATTAATAGATGGTGATGATGCAACGGATCTTTGAATCATTTTCAGCCATTAGTGTAGTTTTATTCCTGGATTTATTCAGACTTAAGTATATTAATATTCCAGAGATAAATCTTTGACAAGATTTTTCTGTGTTGAAGGATTTGTGAAAGTTCACCAAAACTTTATCAATTATAAAACTTGCCAATTTTACACTGACACTTATATATATTTAATTTTGTTAAAAGCGATTTTAAGGTATTTTTTTCAGTATTGATAGTAAATTGCTTCATGGTTATATATCAAAAAAGACACCTTAGTTAATAAGTCAAAAGGAGTGTATTTTACATTTCTACAGCCTTATTAGCATCTTGAGTTTGAACAACAGCAGAGTGCTGGGAGTCACTATGAAATTAACAGAAGTTTTGAGTTTCTCAAATAGCACATTTTTAACCATTCTAGGAATTTAATTACCACATATATATGTTAATGGTGATCTGTTGTAAAGTGTACATCTGAAACTTGTCAGTCTAATACAGTACACGGTCAACAATGGGTAGCCTTGGCCCGGGGTCATACTTTCAGTCAAATTGTCAGCTTCCTGTTGCTGTAATTTGTGCTGAATGCTGTATCTTGTGGGGTTTTTTCCTGTTTGAATCAACACATCTTATTTAATTTTGTAAAATACTGGCCATACTTTTCCTTTTGTTATACATTCATGTTTATGGGTTTTTCCAGTGGCTGGTGTGTATAAAAATCATCACATAAAATGTATGAATGCTGATACCAGTTGCACTTAAAAGAACACACCCATTCTCATCAGCTGATGCAGTACTATGTTCAGTTTATCTATGCATTGCTGGGGTCTTAATGAAGACCGAGACAGTCTAGTTTCTCGTCTAAAGTTTTGATTGTCAGCAAGTTAAATGGACACTTTAGTTATTTAATAAAGACTTTTGACCAAAATTCTAAAAATGGTATGAGAGAACAATGAATTCTGGCTAGTTTTAATGGATTTTTAATTGCTGATCTAATTTAGCCTATTGGCTAGCTAGCTGGTAATGTTTACTTTTAATTCCTTGTTAAAATGAGGCAATAATTTGCAAGATTATGTAAATATGTACATTCTGCATATCTTTTTAGATATCTATTTCAATATTTTCTGACTACTTCTGTGTATAGTAACATTTTGTGCATGCTTGATGTGACATTCATAAATTTGTACCACTATGACTTTATTCATGTAAAATAGCTATTTATTGAATTTTTCTTTTAAAAGCTGGACTGTTTCTCTCTATTTTAAACATTTTACTGGAGAAATTATTACTGTTTATTAAAAGAATTGCGTTTGAATCAGAAGGAAGCTGGCTAAATTGCAGCCATGTAAAAACTACATTGGGTTGATTCATTATAGGTAAAGCACAATTCTTCTAACAAACCGTGATGACTTCTTTGTTCATTGCTAAGTATATTCTCTGTTCTCCCCTACTCTCAATCCATTTGTATAAACCAAAAATCCATGGTGGGCATCTGCAGTTTGTAGAGGTATCGCTTACAGGAACTCCAAAAGCACATTTGATTCACTTGGATGTGCAACTGGTGCTGCAATAGAGCAATACTTCAACTTTTGTTAGCCATTGCATCCTCTCACTAATAGCTTTTAAAGTTTTTCTTAAAAGTTTTTCTTCTTTATATAGACAGACCAATCTTACAGACTGCATTATATTCTCTGAAGTATTGAACTCTGTACTGTTAGATTTTTGTGCAGCTTTTCTTTGTAAACCAATAATCAGATCCATGTTAAGTTCACATCCAGTAGTGCATTAGTGATACTATTTAATTGAAACAAACTCTTTGAATGTAAATTAGTGGATAGCCTAACCACTAGAAGACTGCCCAGTGTTACAAGCACAGTGTCTATAAATGGGAAAGTAAATGTGCAAATAATAATTATGATTTCCATGAGGGTGGAGTATTCTAGTTATTGCTTCAGGGCAGTTGAGGATTGCAGTCCACCTCTTAAGAAATCAGTCATGTCCACTACTAGGTTCAAGTTGCTTCACCCTGTGCATAAATTAGTGACAATCGCAATCAGTTTTAATAATCTGATGCTTAACAGGAAGTTGCTATTGTCACATTGGTTTTAATATTTGTACATAAACACTGATTTTTTTTAACATTATTTTGTATTTGTTGTACTTTAATACCTGGTATACAGTTCCAGAAATAAATATCTGGAAACCTTTTTTCTCCTATGAAAGTCTTCCTCCTTCTGCAATATTATTTGTTCCTTTAGTATGCTTGGACAGACGAAGATTTTAAAATGAGTTATCAAATATTCCATTTGCAACTGACAAGAAATGGAAACTGAATGACAAAATCTATATTATTACTGTTGAAAAGAATTTGGGAAAAAGAATGTGCCACCTGCAAAAAGGATCAATATGATCTGTTGTCGAGAAGAAATTGAAAACAGTATTCCAACAGATCTCCATATAGAAAGGAACATTCCTTATAGATCAAGATGGTTCTATTATGCTGCTTACATTTTTATTTTATCGCATTTTACAGAGGAACTTTCTGTGCCATAGCAGTTAGGCATGCCAGTAGAGCCATGTTATATCTCTTACAATGTTATAAACATGATAATCCTTGGGACCAGTTTGGTAACTTTGTGGGGGCTTTTTGTTAAGTACAGCATCTTAATAGGTTAAAGCATTCATAACTATTAATAAGTTGCAACACTACCTGCCCAAAGCTTAATTTGCTGTAATGAAATTTCAGAATAGGAGTAGCACCCTGTAAATTGTGCTGTTCCACTCACGCATACACACACACACACACACACACACACACACACACCATGGGTATAAGGAGTCTTTATTAAGGCTTGCAAGACTGAATTGTATTCCCCAGCAATTCCCTGTGCTGGCTCCAGTTCAACCCTAATGAGTTTCACAGGCTACTCAAATGAAGCCAACACTCATCCTCAAGGCAAGTCCAGATCACTAGGCAAAAAGTAAGTTCCAAGACAAAGACAAATCTACAGGCAAAGGCAACAGTTGAAGAGACAGCCAAAGTTCAAGACAAGAACACGCAGCAAGGAAACATGTTCCAACATTGCCTCCGTCTGTCTGCTGTGCTAAATAGCCAGTTTATGGTGCTGCCCATCAAGAGTGGTGTGGCTGCCTTCTCTGCTCCTGCCTTTTCTCTGCCCTACTGTTCTTGGATCAGGTGCAAAAAGCAGTTTCTCTTCATCACTGACCAGCTGCAGCTGTGCTTCAGCCAAATCCCTTCCAGAATGCTGCTTGAAGCCATTAACCAGATCCCCTCCAAACATGCCTGGAACTGGTTCATCCTCCTCCAAGCTGACATCTGGAGAGGTATTTGGGGAAGCGTCCAGTGCAGTCATCACATAAACATTCCACTTTTTTTTCTTTGCATGGCATAGATATGTTTGACAAGCTATAGTTTCTACAGATTCTCTAAAAGTGTCCACTGAATTGTAATTTCTAATGTGATGGAAGGAATATTATTAAAAACAGTAAATGGGATGTAATCATATATCTGAACCCCCAAAACGTGATAAATTCCTGTCTTGTACTATTATATACATGATTTTTTTTAAAAAAGCTGAACAAATATATTGGGTGTTCTTGTGTATCAGCTAAGAGGTAAGCTTCATTACCTTTAACAGGAATAACATCAAGAAAAAATCTAGTAAGATTATAATCTAAATATATTGAAGTGACTTCACATATATATGCACTAAGCAATTTATTTTTGAGTTATGAAACTTCAAAATCATAGTCTACAATGATGCATTTGCAATACAATTTGGTAAATGTGTGATAATACATTCTACAAAAAATATATCTAGATATATCAACAGCTATCAATAATATTAATTCATTACTAGGGATGTATTAATGTAGTATTTGTTACACTGGAAAAAGGTTCTCAGAAATCTACCTAAATTCCATAGCTTTAAAAATAGTTAAAAACGGACACAAGCATATCTACTTTTAACATATTTATTTCTATTTCTTTTTAATGGAATTAATGTATCAAAATCAATCTCAAAACTCATTTATTTGAAAGCAAATAAAACTCTAAATCTTTTCCATACAGAATTCCAAGAAGTGTTGATGAAAATAAGGATTCAACTATAATTAGTTGCTGCAGATATTAGACTGAGGATGGGTGGGGCGAGAGTTGCTGTTTTCAAAGACTTGCAGGTGCAGCCTGCACATGGATTTGTTATTTCTCTTTGAGTGTCAGACATAACATAATTCTTCATAAAAAGATAGTAAGCTGACATGTATATTATCATATATATTACATATCGTCTATAAAATGTATAATAACTAAAGTATAAGTACTTCTTTTTAAGTTAACTAAATGGACAATTTTTTTTTAACAATAGTAAAAGAAATGATAAAGCCATTCAAAATCCAAAATATGAGTGTATTAAATCCAATACATTTAAAGAACAACAGAGGGAGACAATGAATAACTTGAAGTCTCTATGCTGGACCCAGGTACACCAGGGAACTCTTTGTTTATTTCAATTCTGGTGTTTGTGTAGTAAGCATTTCCCAAATAAGTTATGTCCCATAATAATCCGCAAAGTTTAAATTTCAGATAGTTTAAAGGTTTCAGATAGGCTATTGCTATTTTAAAAACCCAACAAATTTGACTTAGTAAATATATAGTTGAAGGTATAACTCGCAATAAAACTTTTGTACCAAAATGTATCTTCAATCATTCTTTGTTAAAGGATACCACATTTGGTTTAAATACTGTAAACGTCCATAGTTGACCATCAAGAAATAACTGTGTAATAGTTTGAAAAAAGTTCTTCTCCTGGGCCAATGTCTCGGAGAGCTACCAAAACCACACATCTCAAGGACCTGCAAATTGAATATTGCAGGAAAAGAAGTTGGTCTCAATTGTGCATTGATATTTTTAACAACACAAGCAATTTTTCCTCTGTTCTAATCCTGATATATCCTACTTCAAATATTTGAGAACACTTAACTATTTAAATTATTCTAGAAATATTCAAAAATACAAATTTCTCACCTTTCTATTTCATGGCCGTAGTTTATGTTTGGAAGATACTGTTTAAATTCTATAGGAAAACATTTAGGTATGTTCAGTTCCTGATAGCAAACATTTGCTTCTTTTTCTGATGGAAAAAAGAGAAATATCTTAAATGAAAAAGAGATGCCTGTACATTAATATATGTCTGAATGTATTCAATTAAAAAAATCCCTTTGCTATCTAAGCCCTTCTGCAGGAAATGAGCAGGCTGAGCCCGAAGAAGGGGTCAAATGCGTAATAAGTCTTGAGTCCCTTAGTGCCCAAAAGAGGTCAAAGTCCAGCCTACCTTGAATTCTCTTGACTCTTTTCTATAGCTAATTTGCTTTGACCACTAGATGTTCAGATTCTTGTAGGGAGCTTTAGCATACAATAAACCTATCTATTCATTTGAACTGTCTGGACTCCTGATTTTCTGTGCTTGACACCTTCTATGAACATACTATAGCCAATTTGTTCTAGTGGGTAAGGCATCAAGATAGAAATCAGGAAACCGTGACCTCCAATCCCCATCTTAGCCATGAAAGTCAGCTAGGTAATTTTGAGCTAGATACTGTCTCTCAGTCCAACTCACCTCACTGGGTTGTTATTGTGGAGAAAACAGGAAGAGGAAGGAGCAGCAGATATGTTCACTGTCTTGAGTTGTTTAAAAATAATAAAAGCAGAATATAAATAAAACCTACAAACTATTCTCTGATGTAGAATAAACCTCCACTATTTGCAGAAATTATAAATATAAAGCCACTGACGAATTAATATTTAGGCAGACTTACAACATGCATAGCAACTTCAATTTTTACAATCTAACCAAAGGGGAAAAAAATGGTCTTACCTGTTGAACAGTTATTAACATATTGTCCCACAGCCAATGGATTTTGCATAGCAGTTGTAAGCCAAAAGACATCGCACATTTTTAAAGGACCAATCTGATCTCTTTTGCTGCATGACCTAAATGATATTATAACATTAGCCACAACATTCTATTTTGATTGCTTCTTGGGCAGATACAAATTGCATTCACTTGCTAGACCTGAATTACTGTATTCAACAGCCCTATATCCTGTTCAGTGGTGGAACTAAATATCTGTTTCTGCAAACTATAGTAGAGTTGGTATGATACTAATGACTTAGAATCCCTATTTGTTCAAGAATATCTCTGAGCCCCCATAATAAACTCCCTAGTAGTATTGGAAAATAAAACATGGAAAGTGAGCACAGTTTAGTATTTTGTTTAGAAAGATGAGTTACTCAGGAAAAAAATCAGAGGGACCATCTGGGTGGCCTGGAGGAAATTAGCTACTATGCTTTATTATATAGATTTTGCATCTATTTTATGAATTGACTAGTTCTGCAGAGCAAATACAGCAGGCTCTCAAAATTTTAAATGTCCTTAACACCAAAGACTATATCAGAGGTCTGATAAGCAGAAAACTGAACACCAATTTAAAACATGATCTTACACATAAAGTAGCTCAGACCACTTCTCTGCCACCATTACTTTTATTCCTCAAATCCTCAAAACATGTATTAAAGCCAACTGCAACTATTTTTTTTGCTGGCCTCAAAATGTTGAGTACAGGCAAAACACAGCATGTGTCAATCAGCCTGTCCTTCAGATAAAGAGAGTGCAAGAAACTGCATTCAGTTAATACTCTGAACTGCCACTATGATCCTTTGCCACCAAAAAGGAAAGAAAATAACCTATAAGAGCTCATGTCATTCTGTAATTTTAGTATATCCTGTAGAAATCAATACAAATAGCATTTTACCCACCAACTACCTATTAGCAATGGTCTTGGCCAAAAATCAGGAAATAGGTGCTTTATTTGTTTGCTTAAATGTTGAAACTTAACAAGACACATACAAATAATATCAATCACTTTATCAAATTATTGATTGCTTGATTATGTGCCATCAAGTCAGTACCAACTTAGTGACCACACAGATCTTCTCCAGGATGATCTGTTCCCAACCTGGTCCTCTAGTCCTTACAACAATGCACCTATCACCCCTGGAACCAAATCCATCCACCTGGCTGCTGGTCATCCTCTTCTCTTAATTCTTTCCTTCCACCTTTCCCCGCATTATAATCTTCTCCACAGAGCTAAGTCTTTGTATAATGTGTCCACAGTATGATAATTTGAGTCTGATCATTTGTGCCTTCCAGGCATTGTAGTTTCCAGTCACATCTTGCTAGCATGTTCTGTCGATTTCAACTTACACTTGATCGTCAAATTCATCAATGCATCAATGGTTGAAGCATAAATCATAAACTTATGATTATAAGCTGCCCTGAGTTACCCAAGGTAAGATAAGTGACCAATAAAAATTATAAATTTTATTTATAAATAAATAAATTTAGACAATGCCATACCATAAGATTCTCTAATTAATATTAATCAGTTGTTGGTTGCATAATAGCCTGGTATTGTCTTTAATAAATCTTTCTTAGCTATGTAACTAATGTCATTCCTTGTTTTCCATGTCTGAGTAGAAAACAAATTGATCTTCTGATTGAAAGTCTCCAATTCTAATCCATCTCAATTCAGTGTTTCCTAGCTGTCAGTATGTAGTATAGTATATTCATTTCAATTTTCAATGGTTGAAAGCTTTTTTGTTACAACTCTAATTTGCAAATTTGAATTTTCTTTTTCTGCAAGGCAAAACCAACAACTAGATATCCCAAAGGCTTTAATGTAGTTATTTCATGCATACTGTTTGTACTCTGAAAATCCTCAGCAATTCCTCATAGCATATTAAGTACTATCTGAACTGGTCCATCATCAAGCCCTATATTATTAATTATTTTACCTTTTGTATCAAGACTACCTTTCTTAGTAAAGTCAGGAATGGTTTATCATTATCTTTTCCCTTGCTGATGCCTTTGTCATTGCCACTTTAGTGACCATCTACCTCTGGCATCTTCCTACATTGCTGCTGCCTAATATAGATGCCTACTTGCTATAACTGGGCAGATTGGTGACCTTCAAGCCCTGGATGATCCTGATGGGATCCTGTATACTTTTGATATACACTACTGCCATTCTTTGCTTATCCTTCTATTAACATTCTTCTGCTGTAATGAGGTAGCACAGCAGGACTTAGGAGAGTCTACTGATTAACCCATGTAAAAATAATTATGGTAAGATTCTATATTTTTGACAAGGCAATACTAATGCTTTTCTACTACAGTTTCAGAGGAAAGACAACAGAAACAATTCATATTTGAGGAGTGTCAGGATGACAGAACTGTGGTTGAGTTTCAAAGGTTGGCTATTTATCCAATACCAATAATCTATCCAAAATGCATCCTTCAAGAGCAAATTATTACTAAAATATATATTGATGAGGCCATATCTAAAGTATAGCTCCATTTCCTCTATTACATAGAATACTTATTTCCAATAAGGAGCATCCATGAAAGGAGGTCAAAACCTGTTGGATGGTGAGTGTTGTTTGCATTGAATTCAGGAACTTGTGGCAAGAGTTTCCATCAACAGAAATCAGCATTTCAAAATGCTGGAAAAGAAAATACTAAATACTAGGGAAGCCTAATATTTTGAAAGGACACTCCACTTTAATAAAGATTCAAGTGAAGCAGCCCTTCAAAGACAACCCTTTCCCTTATAAAGACATACAGTAATAAATGAAATTGTACAATATGACTTTCCTCACACCTGAAAAAAAAAATCTGATTGGTGGATAGTTCTGGCAGATCTCCAGACACACAAGCTCAACCATGTCTCAAAATTCACACAAATTTGCTTGAGACCTCTTGATTATACTCTTAGATAAGGTGAAGTTTTATATGGCATAAACATTAGGAATAATTATCAATTGCTCTTTATTTATATCAATATTTACTTAATGCTTTCATGCCTTACCTGTATATAGCCTTTGAGATTCCCCTATTATTTCCATCAATAAGTACACCATCAATACACCTAAATATAAATGGATTGCCAATGGATTGAAAAAATATGGGTTCGTGATTTTCATAGACCGTGCCTGTTTTAAAAAAAGCAGTTATTTTAGATCCTTAAGTGCGCGCGCGCGCGTGTGTGTGTATGTGTGTGTGTGTATATATATATATATTGATGATAACATTAAAAATAAAAGTGTGATTCCTGGGTATATTCATCTCCCAAAGAACCAAAAACACATGAGAACCAGGAATTTAGGACCACATGAGGAGAATGCACAACAATACACACATAGGCAGAAGATGCAAGAAAAGCACAGTCACTGATACGGAAGTTACGACTAGAGCGCGGCTTAGCCAATTGGGACCGGTGACGAGATCTTGAGCCGGGTGCAAGCAGCGCTTTACCTATAAATAAACTCTCCCATCAACTAACATTATATCCTGATGATGTCGGCAGCTGCCGACGAAAGCTAGGTGTTTTATTCTATTAAACTTTTATAGTTTCATAATATTCCTGGTGCTCATGTGTTTTTGGTTCTTTGGAAGATATACATACATACATACATTAGCTAGATGTAAAGAATTATATATAGTTATTCTTCAACAGAGCAAAATCTTACCCTTTTGTCCCAATAGCATAATATTCTTAAAACTTTGACATGGATTAAATACCATTTTACTTTATTACAACTGCTGAATCACACTTATTTCCAAGGGGTTTTGTATATGATTCGTGAGACACAGTAGGCTGAATAGCAACAACAGTTCAAAAAATGGTTGAATGAGAATTTGAACACAGGTTCCTGAAGTTGAAATCTGTGTATTGTGTGTACAGGTAGTCCTCAACTTGCAACAGTCTGTTTAGTGACTGTTCAAAGTTACAATGGAACTGAAAAAAGTGACTTATGATTGCTTTTCACACTTATGACCATTGCAGCATCCCCACCCTTTTTTGACCTTCAGACAAACAAAGTCGTGTGCTTAAAATCTGGATGCTTGGCAACTGGCTCATATTTATGAAGATTGCAGTCTCCTTTTGCAATCTTCTACAAGCAAAGTCAGTGGGGAAGCTAGATTCACTTAACAACTGTGTTACTAACTTAACAGCTATAGTGATTCATTTAATAACAGTGGCAAAAAGATTATAAAATAGGGCAAAATGGCGTTCAATTGTGGTCATAAGTTGAGGACTACCTATATCTACCATGTTATACTGATTTTATTTTACTAATTTATAATACTGATTAGTATTGTAGTAATGTTAATACTAATATCAATATGAAATAGATGCCATTTCTCCCCCCGTCCCCCAGGACTACTGAGCTGGTAATGGCTGTATAATAACAGGAAAAAAGTGTGCTATTTAAAAAAAGTACATATCATAGTAAATTTGGCCCTTGTCAATAGTATTGGCAATCCTAGAAAACAGAATCAAACTGTTTTGAAAAACAATTGGGAAATACTTAAGCAAGGGATGTTGATTAGTTTGCAGGGCATCTGTTAACAAAGAGCTACAAAACATAACAATTTTCACTTACTTCAAGTTGGTAATGCCCAGAAAACTAAATAAAGGTTGATACCTTTATTTAGTTTTCTGGGCATTACCAACTTGAAATAAGTTGGTAAGACCATTACTTCATATCAAGGAGAAGAGCTGTTGTTTAGGGAGCTTTTAAACATATTAGATCCTAGTTCAAATTCTGCCAGTTCCAAATATCTTAAGTCAGTGTTGATGATACTGAGGAAAATGGATCCATCACAACCTAGTGGACAGGATTTGGAGGCCGGAATCCAGGACTCAATTCAAAAAGTGTTGAGTTCCTGGCTTGCAAACAGCTAGGTTGCTTTGTTAAGATATGAAACCATTAATCATCCATCCATCCACCCACCTACCTACCCATCCATCCATCCACCTACCCATCCTTCTAAAGTGTCCTCCACATATAAACATTAAGTCAAGGATTAAACCTAAAGTTATATCTGCTGCACCACCTGATGAATCAAATGTAATGCTGTTTGTGCATGAACTTATATGAAAAATAATATTTCCATACCAGGATACATTGATACAACGGTTCCTTCTGGAACAAACCCTTTTGCTACAAAAACTCCTATTCCAGCTGACTTCAGTGAACTGGGTTGTCGAATAATGCTGAATCCTAATGTACTGAACAAAACTTCTTCTGGATTAAGAGCTCTTTGATGTTCTTGATCATCGTATATTGCTTTGGATATTGTTTTAGATTGCACTGAATGTATTTCTGGATATTTTGATTTAATTTCGGGAATTACATTCAAAAGGAACATTTGTCTGTTCAAGTCATTTACAAATAAAGATCTAAATGTTTTCAATAATGTTTGAAGGACATCTTCATCAGAAACAATTTTGTCTTTAGATTCTGCTGGCACAAATCGGAGAGTCCTGAAGTAAGATAGGAGCAAGAGGTTCTGTAAGTATAAGAATTGTCACGGTTTAAAATTCCATAAATTTATAGGGGACGGGAGCATACAAAAATATATTTTTCTTTTTATAAGAAAGTGTTGTTCAATTGTTAATAATGACTATAATTTCCAAAATATGGCTACTGTGATATCAAACAGATAGACAGACAGGTTGTTCATTCCTAAACCTTATCTAGGCCAGAAACCTTAACTGGATGCTCCTCAGCACCTGTTAATGCCTGCAAAGGTCCTGTGTTCTTCCCAACCCTGCCTTAAAAAAAACCTATAATGGTTGGTCTAGAAAAATAGTTCATAATCACGTCTGTTTTAGGCTGAGATTCCTAGGCAAGTGATTAACTTGCTCTCTCAATAGTTTGTGTTTCTCCCATCAGAGGGGAAAACAAAAGGTATGCTTTAGTGCTTGTTTTACAATAAAATAGATGCATTTACAGTTGTACAATTTCCAAATAGCTAAATTGTGATATGTGGCCCATAGCAGTTTCTCTAAATTTCAGATGTTAACAAAGTTACTCAGTGATGATAATTTATTCAATCTATATGCTACCCAACTCCCGGTGACTCTGGGCAGCTTACAATTGTTAAAACATTTTTAAGACCCAAAGAATAATACTGAAAACATGAAAACAACACAAATCAAAGGGACAATGATAGCTGAGTGAACAAAAAGGAAGAAAGAGGCCTCAATCATCCTGTCCAAAGGCTTGGACAAAGAACCAGGCCCTTCAAAATCCCAGTACATGGGGAGCAGTTTGAATTTCAGAGGAAGCATATTCCAGAGGGCAGGCACTGCTACAAAGGAAGCACACCCCAAGGACCAAATAGGTGACATTGTTTCACTGCCAGAGTGAACCATTCAGACAGATACTATGGGAGAATCATACCCTAAGTCAATGTAGCTAGTAAAGCAGTTGCAACTTCCCATTATCTGCAAGTGACTATGTCTACATAGTGACTAGAGTTCACAAATATGAAATTACAATCCCTGGTCCCCTTAGGATGCATGAGCAGTTCTGTTAGCCCTCTCCAGATATTGATGAGAGTGAAATGCCCACAATCCATATGGTAGTATAAATTTGTTAGCTATACATTCACACATTCTCCCTGTGTTTCAACTCCTTCAGTTAGCAGATTATGATTAATTTGTATTTAATAAATATCACTTTTGCTTTCTACTGAGGAAAAGTAGGGACAAGAATCAGTTCTAATGGGAACATATTTCAAACAAAGAAGAGACTTAACTACTCACTAAAATCTACTATACTTCTGATGACTGGATGAAGAGTTGGATGTTGTAGGGCAGTGGTGGTGAACTTATGGCACGCGTGCCAGAAGTGGCTCTGTGGGCACGCGTGCCATGCCCCGGAGATGGCGAGGGACTGGCCCCTGCCACCCAGGCCCCGCCCACCCAGTCTGCCATGACAGCTGCTGCCATGCCCACCCGGCACCAGGTGATAAATAAGTAGGTTTTGGGTTGCAGTTTGGGCACTGGGTCTCTAAAAGTTTCACCATCACTGTTGTAGAGCAACCCCCCAACTTAAAACTGATAATTGTGAGCAGCATCTAACAGAAATTTGTATATTTTTTTTTCATAAATCTCATTTGCAAGTATTAATATCCTAGTAGACAATAAAATTATTTGTGTGTGAAAATATACGACGGTAATTCTCTACAGTTTCACTCAGTAAATTAAACCAAACATTTTCATCTTGCTATATTTAGTAATTTGCAAGGGAACCTAGAATCAGTTCAAACTTATTACAGACACCTGTTTGTTAATTCAGAGATACAGGTTGGTGAGAAAGCCCAATTAAATCAACGGCGGGCCACTGTCAGTATAGAATTGTCCTCATATGGCACATTCAGAAATACTTCCTTCTGACTTTTAATTATTCTTCTAAGAGAGTTAGTTCATTGTACTTATGAAGAGAATGTGTGGTGTTTTTTAATCCATCATATATGGAGAAATGAGTGCAGGTTGTTAAACAAAAAACAAAAGTGGAAATATTGGTACGGGGAAGGAAGGAAGGAAAGAAGGAAGGGGGTTTAGTGATAGAGATAAAGGAACAAAGAGAAAGTGATTTAGTAAGTTTCGGTCCGGCTGCAAAATTCCGGCGAGATGGCAGCAATCCCGCAGCCTTCCAACAGCGCCCGCGACCAACCCGCAAAGGATATTCCCGGTCTCTCTGTATCGCTCTCCCCCAAGAGAGACCCTTCCTTCCGCGACCCGGGAGGGAAAGGCGGCCGTGGACCTTCGCCCTCGTCCTCACCTGCGCTTGTGGCGGAGATTGAGCGCAATCCAGGGCACGAAGCGGTACTTGTAGGCCTCCCAGCGCCTCCGCAACCCTCCTAGCATGGCGGGGCCGTGCCGGCAAACCGCCCCGCCGCCCGAAAGCAGAAGGCGCACTATGGAGGGCGAATAAAACCAGGGTGTGTGTGTGTGTGTTTATGTGAACTTGCTCCCGCAAATCTCGAAGGTAGCTCTCTGTTTCTTAGGAGAAGCTAATCTGCTTTTTGCCAGTATGTTTCACCTTGATGGGGGACATAACCTCAAATAAAGGCGCTTAATCCCAACTTGCCCCTCGTCGAAAACCCTCCAGATCTGTGCCTCCCCAATTCGCGGTAAGAATCTTCCGGAACCAAACTCGAAGCGGGCAAAGTTTCCCGGGACATGTTTGAAGGAGGGGATGCTGGACATCTCGGTAGCAAGTTTGCGCTCTGATTTTTGTGCCTCTCTGGGAAAAATCTGGGGCAGATCAGAATGGTGGGCAACAATTGTACATTGTTTCCAGGTTTGCTTACGGTAGGAACGGAATACTTGGTTTCGCGTTAAAGGCTTGTGCCTTTAACGGTCCTGTGAGCAGTAGTTTTCGAGAGGTGTTCGTAGCGATTAAGAGTGCTTGTAGCAACAGCCAGCCGCGGCTCGCACGAAAATTGATGAGTTAAAATCCTGATTTTTCGAATGTTAAATGAATAAGGAGAACCTTTTTGTAGTTCTCCTTTGGGTCGAATAAGAGAATGAAGACCCACAAACTTTTTCTTTTTGTGGTAAAGATACTACGATATGAAACTTCCTGCCTCTTGAAATTCGATCAGCTTTTTACTGTAATCATTTAATCAATCAACTATTTTATTATTTATTTAAAAGATTAGTCCATTAGTCTTCATGAAACTTTTTTTAAAATTAAGTGTTTTAAAGGTATTGCCTTCTATTTTTTTTGTTCGCTTTGTTTTTTTTGTTACAGCATTTTTAATATGTACATTTTGTTGAGATAACCCTCTGCATCTGTCAATTGAAGGTAAAAATTGAATGAATACACTCATAAATAAATAATAAAGGGATAGTTTCCCCCATATTTAAGCAGAAAAGCAAGCAAAGGAACAGAGAAAGGGGGTAGGAAAGAGAATAGATGGCAAGGCGGATGAATCAGTGGTGGTCGGTACAGGCATTGAGAAACCAGAAAGACCACATTAGGGGCAGATATTGAAGAAAAATCTATGTAGTTAAGAATTGACAATGACTTGAAAGCACATAACCAGTCAATGCTTATTAAATTGATCTCCTATGCTGCTGCCTTCCAGTTTTTCTATTAGTTAGCATGGTAATGATTGTGGGCACATGTATGTTTTGTGGAAATCTAATTCAATAAATAAAATGCTTGGCAAATTATGTCGTATAGTATGAGTCACAAATCTGAGTTATTCACAAAAGCCAGAACACTGCCGAGCTGCACTATGCTTTCCTTCAGTATAAAAAAGCCTTTGGAGCCAGAAATCACATATCTGGAAGGATGATGAAGAGTGATAGACACATCCTATTTGGCTTCCCAGATCCTTGAGTAAAGCAATTAGTTGGTTGCCGCAGATTCTGCTTTCTGCATTTGTTGACTTTAATTGTCCCCTCCCTGATGTTTTGGACTGTATTGTATCCAAAGGATGTGTCAATCTCACTTGATATGTACCATGTGTTCAGGAAGAGGTTGCCTGTCATCAGTAGGATTCAAGCAGCCTTTGAACAAAGTTTAGAGAAAGGTTACTAGTCACAAAGATGCTCCTTTTGCTGAAGAATCACAACAGTAGTGTTTTACCTTTTGCACACTCCTTCAAGAAACCAGGAGCCAAGGAGACATTCCTCCTCAATACTGCTGTGCGTTCCTGGTCCCTTGGTCACCCTCCAATCAGCTGGAACTGATAATCATGGCAATCTTATCATCTCACTAGGTGGCCAAACAGAGTAAGCATCCCCCCCCCCGTTTGTCTTCAGGAGCTTTATTTATATACAGGTAGTCCTTGATTACTAGTTTCTGGTGGAAAAAAGCATTTATTTAGGAAGCCAGATTCGCTTAATGAACATGGAGTTTGCTTAGCAACCACAGTGATTCATTTTATAAGAACCATAAAAATGATTGTAAAGCCGATCCAGTCACATTTGACTCGACTTGAGTGCACTGATTTACAACTGAAATTTCTGTCCAAAATGTGATTGTAAGCCAAGGACTACCAGTTTTCAAATTAAAGGTCACACAACACTTAAACAGCTCTGGTCAGTTTACAGTTACAAACCACCAAACAATAAAAACAGATACAAATCATACATCCAGAAGACAAACTATACGTAAGAAAATTTTGCTTAAAGACTCAATAATCACTCTACTCCAAGCCCTTGGAGAATAATAGCCAGGTTTTCAATGACTTTCTGAATACCATTGGGATGGGAGCCTTATAGGTTTCTGAAGGATGCTATTCCACAGTTTGGCCCTGCAATAGAGATCAGGAATGTGTAAAATAGTACCTGGCATGGGGTGCCTTCTGACAGAATGTTACTGCCAAGACCTCTTAACTAATCTGCTGCCATCTATGTGAGAATGTCTATGGAGGTTTTCAGGTCATTGTTGTCCCAAAGGTGCTTTTTCACGAGGCAAGTGGACTTTCTTTTTTTCTCTTTGATCCTTTCATTCCCCACCATCCACTCAGAGCTAAAGAAGCTTCTTGGATGAGAAGCAAAATGTCTTCAAAGAGAAAAAAGAAACTCCAGTTGTCTCATGAAAAAGCACCTTTGGGATATCTATATGAGAAACAGCAAATGCTGCATGTTTTCCCTCAATGCTTGGAGATTCTGCTATAGACATAGGGGGTTAAGGCTTTCGGCTTCAAGGCCATATTAACATGACTGAAATGGAAAACACTAAACAAGACCTGCTCTGGTTAGAATTTGTGCAGGTAGAGAGGGAAGGAAAGGTTGAATTCAATCTTATAGGGCAGCTTATTTGTCCAAAAGCTACAGCCATAGCTGGGATCTAACAGTTCCATCAGATGTACACTCAAAGCTGAATTGATCTTAGAATTTGCTCCCAAGCTGCCAGGATGAGCCTGAATTTTCTGCAGTTCTATAAAGACCAAATTTCAACCCAAAATAAATATGGAACAAAAACAAGTGTGGCAGTCTTAAAAACTAAAATCCAAATTCCAAGAATTATGAAAAACTAAAGCAAGTTCAAGGTTCCCATTAAAATATAATTTTATAAAGTTGTAAGTTTCTATTGCTGCAACCCCAACGAAATCAGTAGTTTTTAATTCATGGGGATGAGGTGTCACATTCATTGATGGGTTTGGGCAATCATGGCACTGAAAGCTTTAAGAACTCTTACCCTTAACCTACAGGAATATGTAGACAAAGCAGTTATAGATTTTTGGCTTTATCTAATTCCAAATACAAACTGTTTCTAAGACCAAGAAACAGAAACAATGATATCCTTACTTGCAGGCAGTTTTCAGACCACATAACTGGTGACAAGATCTTGTTCGCTTAAAGGAAAATACATGTAATACAGTAATTCCAGGAAGTAATGAAGTCAGATTTTGCCATAAAAAAGGACAAGTTTTGTCCAAAATCTTTTATTTACTATAAAGACAAAACCACCAAAATAGGTACAAATTATACTATAAAATTGGTTCAAAGGGGTAAAAACTTTTAATTAAAATATCTTGATATATTTAAAATAACAAAGAATAAAATGAAGCCAAATTTTTTTAACCCAGAGATCTTTAAAATTTACTTGCACAGTAAGGTGCTAAGAAGTTAGCCCTTAAGCCCTGGAACTCTTAGGAATCAGTCACATAGCAAATATAATTTCAATGTGAAAGTGAACTTTGGTAGAAGAAAATCTATAGGATACCTGAGGTAGTAGAAACTGGAATAAACAGCAGTAGACGTTATTTACAACTTAGGTACCAAATAACATTAAGAGCACAAAAATAATTACATAATACAATTTTCCGTCCAGCTTTGATCCAAAGAAAATAAGATTACATCACATCTGCATTTAAAAACACAATTACCAGCAAGCAGAGGAAAATGCAAACAAACTTGAAGAAGAGGCAGTCCAAGTTTGATATGTGAAAGACATGATGATCTACAAGGATAATACTGATTAGCTGAGGTTCGTCAGTTTATATAATTGACAAAGTGGTATTTATCTGACAAGCAATCTTCCAGTACATAAATTGGCAAGAGTGCATCCTTTAAAGCTTGCACAGAAGAGACTTAAAAACAATATGATTGGAATAATGACAAATTCTAAATTGTCAAGAAACAAATCAAATACAAACAAAGCTACAAAACTTCACATTTAGATTTTTTTAACTCTTCAAAGTCTCCCAATAACAACAACAACAAAAAAGCAAAGGAATGTAACATTTCAAGAAGAAATACACATCCACCTTTAATGACATTGCTCTTGATTAACTTTAGCATGGTCATTGTGTAAACATTACCTTTGTTTCCAATTTTTAAAAATTGTACATTGCCTAAATTGTACAGTATTATAGCTTATCAAGTTTGTCCTGAGCCTTTGATCATAACCAATTTCTGATCAATATTTCAACTGGCTTCTGAAGAGTTAAAATTGGAACAGTTATTTTAACAAAAGTTGATTAAACACAATCAAAACTTTACTTCAAAAAAAAAAAATTGCCAGAAAGTAAAAGAGCTGCCATTTTCCTTCAATATCCCATTCATCAGAATTTAAAAAACTGCCATTGAAATTTTCATCAACGACACATTTGTTAAAAAAAATGCTCTGCATTCTTGGTGCAAAATATTTCTTCAAGGCTATTTCATTCTGTAAAAATTTAAACACAAGTTTTTAAATGGCTATTTTCCATTTTAAAAAATAGTTCCCAATAACTTAATTACCAACTATTATTTTATTTTTCGTATTTCTAGCCCACCATAATCCAAATTGTAAATGATGGGGCTGTGCAAGGATCATGCATCAAGGCCACACAGTCAGCTTGTTGTGAGACAAGTTGTCTCCTATATTGCTGCAATGTCATGCCCACTGACTCATTCCCAACCTCTCCATTTGTTATTAAGGGAAAACACCTAAATAAGCAACAGTGTCTTCTCCTGTTTTTTTTTTGTTTTTGTTTTAAATCAAAATAGGATGCTATTTTCAGGAAAGGCTGTTAATGTAGGGATAAAGTCACAATTCATAGAAATTACTTCTGGGGTTTCAAGTGCCCATGATGTATTTCTCCTTAGCTGAATTGGTTCACACCAAATCAGAGCACAGCCTCAGTAAAAAGATGACAAATGGCACAAGGAAAATAGCAGGAAAAAACAGCAAACATAATGCAATGCTAAGAGTAAGGCTGAATTTAAAGCTTCAGCTGACTAGAAGTTGAATATCAGAAGGCAGTATGACACAGTACTCCCTTCTACCACAATTTTACCATGAGCTGTGATATTAAAAAGGGCTTCAAAACAGAACATTCACTTGATCCTTGGCTATGAAGTTCTGTTATTCAAAAAACTTGTGCACTCCTACCTCAATAACACATCTTGTTAAAAACACTGACTCAAGGGCAGCATTTTATTGCAGATTTCAAACCAATTTTAACCATAGTCTTTTACAGTAAGTTGTCCAGCAATATTTAGCTTGAACTTAATTCTAGTTATTTGGGTTTCTTTTAAAAACATTTTCCCTGAATGTGAAGAAAAGATAAAATGAAACTACAGAGTGGTAACTTCCAAAGGACAGTTACAAGACTAATAGTAAGTCAACCACAACTGCCATACTTTGTGATTCTAAAGTAGGCAAAAGTGATTTTTAAAACTCCAAATTTTCTTTTTCCACATAAAGAATAAGCTTCACCATAATGCAGACATGAACTTTCTTTAAAATGGATTGTTGAAATTTGCATGTTCTGAAAAAAATAGTGATGTATTTTTAAATGGCTCTTTAACCACTCAACTGCTTATATCACTGAAAAAATGCTTTAAAATAAAGTTTTTTAAAAATCACATTTTCCACTAAATAATCATGCAGATCTAAAAGAGGAATTGCTTCTCTGTTTGTGAACAAACATATCTTTGAGAAAGGCACAGTTTACATATTTCTGCACAATTTGTGAAATGTTACATATTGAACTTATGTCAAGATCTCGATTTGTCAGTCACATACGTATAGGTCGTTTACTGACCTCTGGACAATCCGAAATAGCGTAGGGTTTCCTGCCCGAGCAACTAGATGACCTAAGGTCTAACTTTACTACTATTACTATTACATACGTATAGGTCGTTTACTGACCTCAAGTCCTCAAAACATATAATTAAGAGCAGATTAATACACATTGCTATGCAAACCTGCACAGGAAGACCAGCACTTTATATTTTCAGTAGCATCGAGTTCAATGTACCCCCCGTTTTCTACAACTACCACATAGTGCGAAAGACAGGGTGTTTTAACAACTCCCTTGTTGGGGGTCTGTCCTGAGGTTGTAGTTCCAGACATCGAAGTGCCACATCCCTTAAGCCTGGAGACAAATGCAATGGGATTGTTGGAGCTGTAGTTGCACTAGCAATCTATAATTAAAACAGAAAATAATAATTACACAAAAAATCCCAAAGCAACAGATTATATACTGTAAAAGCATCTTAGTATTTGCACTGCTGACAATGTAAACATTAAGTTTATTACAGCTGATTCCTGTTATTTGCAGATTCCATATTTATGAATTCGCCTACTTGCTAAAATTTATTTGTAACCACAAAATCAATAGTTATGGTCTTTTGCAATCATTTGTGGATATACAAAACAGAAAAAAATTGAGTCACTTTACACACACATTCCCAGCTGAGGTTTCAATATTCACAACTTCAGTGTCTGCGGCAATTTATAGAACAGAACTACTAAGAATAATGAGAATTGACTATATATTGACACTATAAATATATGTGTCCAGGATGAAGGATATAAATGCATATTTTGCAATAGATGTTTTAACTGCTCAGTAATTAATCCCTGAGAGACAATAGGCAAGAAAGAAGGAAAACATATTTGCTCATTTTTTATTTTTATTTTTAACTGCTATTTTTTAAACCACTGGAATTTATTTATATCCCTTTGAAAATGAAATAATAAATTGGGATATATTGCATATAATGTGACTAATAATTATATTGAGAGAATTGAGAGAATTAAATTGAGAGAATGCTTTCACAATATAAGATATATATGTTGTTCACATCTTTTAGTTTATGTGCATGATTATCATTTAGCCTAATCCAGCTATCTACTGCAAATTCCTTTCCTCTCAAGTTCTAATGACAAATTTACACTGCACTCTTGGGCATGTCAGTGGCCTTTGAATGGAAGAAGCTCTCAGTGCATTTCCTCAACTATAGGCTTTACACATTTTCTCTTATGGATCATTTTACCTTAAATATCAAAGCAAGATGGTTGGAATGTTTCTCTGCATTCCAGGGGGGCTTAGCGCAAGCCATTTCAATAATAGCACAGCCAACACTCCACACATCACAGCTCCTGCCATACTGTTGGCCTCTCAACACCTAAGAGGAAAAAACAAATGAGATTAACTTTGATTCATCAACAGAGCATCTTTTTTAAAACAACAACAGTGTAAAATACTTTATCATGAGATTAACCTAAAATAGCAGTAGGATGCCATCATAAAATGTCATGAGAGATTGCTTTATTTCAGTATCCATAAAACACTGTTCCTGAAAATATTACTTTTACAATTAACACTTGCAAATTCTAGATCAGAGTATACATGTCAACTTTATAGTTTGTCTTCATCTTTTGGTATACTTTAGAAATTCCATAAAAATTAAATACTTGTTCCTGTAAGACCAGTGGCCCCATTAACTTTCTTTGAAGAGAACATGGAAACGGAAGACATGTGGTTCCCAAAGTGCATTAATCATTTATGTATTTTTAGCCATTCTTTGTTAAGAGCAACTGTCTAACATGAACTCTGACAGCAAAGAAGCAAAATGCCAGTGCTATTAGGACAGACAAGTCAAGGTATTTTGCTATCTATTTCCAGAACAAAGTTTCTTAAAACATGACAGCACTGCTCACTTGTAACTTGTTCTTAAAGGATAGTTCACATATCATAACAAATCAGTCTGGTCCACTAATATTGTAAATGGGGAAGATGCTTTTCAAACTAAAATGAAAGAACCTTGTATCTACATAGAAGGTATCAGATAAATGACTGAAAATGTAGATGTAATCTACATTTGGATCACCATTTCCTATTACTATGATGACAAGCTCATTAACTATTTCAAGTTAAGAAAAAAACTGAGGAAGGGTATGATTATGGCTGAGTAAGGATATGATTATGGCTGTTATTGCCCTACAAATTATGCATATGTCTTTAGATGATGTCCCAATGCTTAGATCAAAGGTGGGAACTATGGCCCTTTTATGATTGTGGACTTCAATTCCCAGAGTTCCTGAGCCAGCTATATTCTCCACCTCTGTCTTAGGTGATGAATGGACGTTAAATTATTCAAAGTCAATCAAGCTCTGAATATTGAGAGGGCAAAAATGGGAGCTATTTCAATCTGTTCTTGTGAGTTTCTTTGAAATAGGTGGCTGGTTGGTCTCTATGAGAATCATGGAATTGGATTTGACAAACTTTTGGCTTGCTCAAGTAGGGCTCTTCTCATATTCATGTGTCCTCCCTAATTAGTGTCTTATGGAATTAAAGAAACCTTTAAACTAAAACAAAGTAAAGGTTTAAGCATTTTTCAACAGTATTGCATAGGATGCCATTTTAAATGCTACAGTAGTACAGAAACTAAAGGTTAAGTTAAAAGGTATTAATATCCCTTTTCCCAAGATGAAATCTTACCTCTGGTGCCATAAATGCAATAGTCCCCAATAACTGTCCTTGAAATTCTCCAGCACCAGTTCCTTTTGATGCCAATCTAGCTGCAGCTCCAAAATCAGCAATTCTTAGCCTATGACCTGTGCTATCAATTAACAAGTTGGCACCTGTTGGCATTATTAGAAATACAATTAAGTAATGAAAGAAATGCAAATACACTTGTGGTAGAAAATGAAAAAAATGAACTAGTTTTCTTTGTTCAATAAAGTAAACCGTAGGATAAATTTAAATATATGCTGCAGTTACATTGAATTATATCTATAAAAGGTAGCCTAATAATAATGGACTATACAATAAATTAGAATCAAAGGACAGAATAAGAATCTGGATACTTGAGTAGCTGTAGACTTGAGGCTTTTTTTATTGCTGTTGCATATGTCTGAGATGTTCCCAAATTTTATTATGATTTTTAAGTTAAAATAAATAACAAGAAAGCAACAACTAAATACAATATATATATTGTATCAGTGGTTTATGGTTTTCAGAACACAAACAGAACATTAAAACTAAAAAAGGTAGGTATCCAATAGCTCTTGAAATATTAAAAAATATGTGAATCTTTTTTTCATTTCTAAGCAAATTCTGTTTGTGAATGGCAAATCAGTGCTCTGTCTTTGTCTTTTATATATAAATATTTATCTTATAGACGATTATGCATACAATAATATATAACAACTAGGCTTGAAGAAGTCTAAGAGAAGTTAGCACTGTGCTTGGCAGCATACAATCCTATTTATCTTGTGCTTTCAGTACTACATCACAGAATAATTTTGAAGATAATCATAATTCCTCCTGAGAACTACTGGGATATCTTCAATATCATGTAAATATTCCAAAAATCAGTGCTGTTAACATAATCCAAGATGAAGAGAAACAAGCAGTGACCATTACACAAGCAATGATATCAACACAGTTAACATTTACCAACATTTTAAAAAATGAAATTAGACAGTGATGAATGAATTAAAAATAATTATTCCCATTAGATGGCTCACTGATTGGCCATTGTATAAATGTCCAGCTATAGTAACATTGATCTTACCTTTGACATCTCTGTGAATGATTTGATTTTCATGAAGGTAAGCCAGGCCACGAAGCAATTGTTCTGTGTAGTTTGCAACTACAGACTCTTTAAAGGCTCCATATTTACTCAACAAATGAGCAACAGATCCTCCTGAAAAATAGGAGTATATTTTATCCATTTAGGTTGACTATTTGAAAACAGCAATTTGAAACAGTTGCAAAATTTTATCTAAGGACAGGAAAGGAATTTTAGAAATTTTAATGAATTCTCTTTGGCTCCTTATATTTATATTGTTTTAATATGCAGAGAAAAAGAAATGTTAGAATGCATACATACTTTATATTTTATTAACAATTTTCTTATTAATAATGGGGCAATAAACTTTTTATCTTCACAAAACACCCTTCCTTGAAATATTATAGATGCAGAATCTTCAAAACTCTCGGCACAACTGTTATGAAAGTTCTACCCAACTATCCCTGTTTGAGGATCTATTCATAGACAAGTTTCCCCAGTGCTGATAATGATGATAAACATCTATACATGTATATACACACAAAGACAATGTGACAAAGCCTTTGAAATTGCTACATCAAAATATCCTGAAGATGTGCTTGCTTTAATATTAGTGCTCAGTGTTTGTAGGATAGTCTCTGTATAGCCCTAACCTGCACTGTTTTGCTATTTGTCAGCCTGGAAGTTTTAAAGATGCCTATTTCTCTTGCATATTGCCTTCTTCTTCAATAAATATATGCATCTTGTATGTTTACTGTTCCACATTGCAACACTCAATATTCATCACATTGCTGCTCAAATACGTTAATTATTTAATGATGGATCACCAAAAGTCTACAGTAACAATTACTTCCCTTTCCTCTGCTTGCCAGTCCCTAAACTCCAAAAATCATTCTACTGAGACCGAGAAATGCTGAATTACAAGCATTACAACTAAAGGCCTGGGGGGGGGGGCAAACAACTGCAGAAAGTAATTGTTGTTGTTCCCAAATGATATTACATCCCACCTGGATTATGTATCCCATAATGAACAGAGATCTGTATCAGCTATTCAGGCTTAATATTTTTCCAGAGGAGGAGTCCATCCCTCCTAGAATTACACAATTTGTTGCTAAAGCCTGATCACAACTACTGTTCAGTAGTTGGGACCATATAATTAGAAATAATTCAAACAAAGTTTCTAACAAGTATCTTCAAAGTGACCCACTGTGTTTCAAATGCAGAATTTCAAAGGGAGGCAGTAATCTGAATCCAATCTCTGGATAAATGTATTTACCTACAAGCTAAAACTACACCACAATCTGAGTGGACTGAACCATATTAATATTGGTAGACAACTTCAAAACTTCTTGGGGAATAGCTACTCAAAAGAAAGTGAGCCAGAAAGATTTTTCCAGTGATTCCATCCTAACTTTAGAACCAGATCAAGCTAGGTCAGTATTAAGGTAAAGGATCTTAGATCTGCTTTTTCTCATGATATAATTGTAAATAACTAATTTTTAGCACCTAAATTGACTTCATTTTTATATCACATTCCCCAAATTCAGAACAGCCTTATCTTTACCCGGATTTAATGTTCTCTCCAGAGCTACTTTGGAAGGGAAATATAGAAAAATTCCCTATGAAATGTAATACTGGCATTATGACATGGGTGCCAAAGAAATCACAACCCACTGACAGTTCTACAAGGACATTTGCCACCATATGATTACCTCCTTTTTAATTAAATTTCCAGGGCACTCCAATAATTTTTACTTGCATTATTTATTAGACAACTAGGACACATCTATTTCTCTAAAAGTAGAAGCATTCTGATACATCTGTGTAAGCTTCATCCACAAATGGCTTCAGTAAATTTTGATGTAAGAGGTTAATTTTGCTTGCTTGTTTCACTGAATATGTTTTTATTGGTCAATGACCAAAATAATGTTATTGTCTGTCACTACTTTTGAGGTTTTATTTTTTTATTTTTACTGGTATCTTCAGCTTTCCAGAGTCATTGGAACTGAGAAACCTAGAAATGTGAAATATAAATAAAAATGATGAAGAAGGACTCAAAATTTTCTTCCAAGAAATTGTTGTCTTCCCACATATGGGAAGAGATGACTTTTTGAGAAATCCCAATACAAATATTTAAAACTTTAAGATATTAAATCCATAGCAACCAGAAAGTATGTGGAAGAGGCTCAGATAAACATACATACATCACATGTTTATAAGAACAGGAGATACAGCACAATCAGATTTGCAAGATTCTATTATTGTAGCCACGCCCAATAAAAGTAGTTTTATCCTTCCTGTAGAGTTGATTCTTGCTCTAGTCTACCTGGTTGGGCTGGCACAGACTCAGAATTCAATGAGAAAACCCTAAACTTAACTCTAGTGCCACAGAGTTGTGAGTGGGAAACATTTATTAAGAGATACATTTTGACATACATACCTGCCATCCATTCTATAAAAAGATTGTAGTTGCTTTTCTCACATGTAGCACCCATCATTCGAATGATATTAGGGTGATTCAAATGACTCATCATTCTTATCTCTTCTCTCAAGGCTTCTACCACTTCTTCCTGCTCAGATGATGTATTCCTAACATAGGTTACCTGTTTCATAAAAATGTCAGCTTTTGATTCAACAGTTCTATAAGCAGGAAAAATAGCAACTGTCACTGTTGTAAATAGATCAGATTCCATGTTGAACTATTTGAAGGAAAAGATTCAAAGAATGATATCCTGTATGATATCACTAGGTCAGAGTGCAGAATGTGCACCCGAGCATTACATGAAGTCCCCTAGAGCAAGCATGTCAAACTGCTGGCCCACAGGCCGGATGTGTCACGGTGAAACCGCGCCCACCCCATTGCTGGCAATGGGAAAAAAATCCCGATACTTAGAGGCTTCCAATCATTTGAAGGTATTTTTTAAAATTATATTTAATTTTATCCTGATCCCACTCATCACTATTTGAATGTCACTGAAAGAATGAGTGCCACCTTTGGACTAGAAAAAGTTGAACAACTGTACAATGTATATAACAATCCTGAATACTTTCTATTTTTGCTGAAGTTATTAATATTTTATTGCAACAAAATTCAAATAAATTATATATACTTCTTTCTCTAGAGAAACTCCAAGTAGCTCTTTACATACAGAGAAACATTCCATACACAGTACTTAGGTAAACCACTTCTTGGTGAATGTAATGAAAAAATTGTATATTGTGATACTGAAAATATGTGGAATCCATGCTTAGTAGACACATTGAAATCAATGGGCCTTCAAGCCCAATGAACTTAAGTATTACTGATTTCAGTGGCATTGAACATGCTATGCATCCCATTTTAAAGTCATAAAAACTGTAGTACTCAATTCAACACATGCTTTCAACAAATCAAAAAGATGACAATATTAATCAATTCTATACCCTACTTATGGTTTCCCCCCATTTGCAACAATTAGATAGGAGGAGAATACACTGGTATAGGCTTTGATAATTAGAGGAACATCAAGAACAATGGAGAAATATTCCCGGGATCTGCAAGGGAAGGGAAAAATGAATCGAAATAATTCTTGTAGTACTATGAAATGAGAATACATGTAGCCCTTGACTTATGACCAAAATTGAGCCTGGAATATTGGCTATACGTCATTGCAGTCATTATGTGCATCAACATGTGACCTAATTTGATTTTATTACTATTTTTACAATAATTATTACATGAGTCACAGCACTTGTTAAGCAATTCATATGGTCATTAAGCAAATCCAGTACATCCAATGAGTGAGGTTTTTTTGCCGTTTTCTTTTAGAAAACGGCAAAAAAAGGATCACAAATTAGGGTCATATAACCATGAGACACTGCAACCAGTCAAATGCATGGCAGTTGCAACATCACAAAATGCAATTTACATGATTGCGGTGGGGGTGGGGGTGTTGTAGGAGTCTTGATTTTGAGGATGGATTGTAATTTTTTTTTGAGACAGTTATAACTCCAAATAGCCATTAAACATTAAGGCAGTCATTAAGGACTGCCTGCATTCTTGCAGAATGCTTCTCATGAGATGGTCCTGTTAGTGAAGTAAACACCAAATCCAACAATTTGTAAAACAGCACAGAAATAAGTTGGCTTTTATTCAGTTCTTCTCAAAATCCAAGATTTTCTGGTCTTTCAGCTAATAGTTTCCAGCCTAATTTTTAATATTCAAACGCCTGAACAGTACTAAAAAGAACAGATACTATCCAGGATCTTAAAAGACCAAGGAGAAACTATATTATGCAATCTTTTTAAATTAGAATGATTACTTTTGAAAACGAATTTTACAAATCCACGAAAGAAAAAGAATTATCTTTTAATGATAAAATACCTCTACGTATGTTTGTGCCTGTTCTGCACATCTTAACCTTATTTTTCAAATATTCATTCAGCAAATGCTTGCAAAATATTCAACAGTATTTTTTTACCTGTTTCACTGCCATTAATGTCCCAGTGCCAACATCCTGAGCTTGATAGCAAGAAGAAAAAGCTCCAAGGCCTATCTGTTGACCTTTAAGCCATTCAGTGTCTTCCCTATAATGGTGCTTTGCTTTGGTATGCCCAGGCAGGGTTTCTGGTGTCTGCAAATTAAATAAAAGATATGACAATGTAATCCTTTGAAATTCAGGGTGAAAAAAAATGTATTCTTAACACAAAGATATGAAGCCTCTATTTAGAATACGCAAACAGCACAAGCATTTCTCTAATGAGTATGGGTATTTCTCTAATGAGTATGGGTATTTCTCTAATGAGTTGGGTAGGCAGGTCTCTAATGAGACCTGCCATACCCAACAATTTAAAGAAAAAAATAACCAAATTTTAGAATCTGTTTACAGTTTTTCTCACATATATACTTAATTTTTTTTATAATCTGCCCCATTCCCAAAATACTATGGCAGGCATTCAAAGCCAAACTATAAACAGCAATACAAACTCCAAGTAAATTCATTATAATAGGCACTACCATTCACTAGGGACAAAACCACACTGAAATAAAACAGCTCTGAATTGTTTCTTTACAGAATAGCTATTGAATGTACATCTGGGGGAAGTGTTCCAAAGATTGGGAGTAACATGAAGAACGACTTCTAATTCACTGCCTTTCACACCTGGAGAATATTTTCAGAAAGGGTACTCTGGATGACTAAGTTGAACAGACAGAGCAAGTTCTGGTGAAGCGTTGCCTATTCATATTCTAGTAATCTGCTATAAGGCTATAAAGGTGATAACCATACAGTGATTTAAAAACTGATGTGATTTGTGATTGGTTGGATACACCTATAAAAACACATGTGGATATAAATAAGGTTACAAATAAACTCTGGCAGCCTCTAATGTTCTGTGCCCCAGGGGCTAAAAATATTATCCTTCCTGACATATGCAGTGATTACTCTATCACTACAAACAGCACTTTATCTAGAGACAAAATCAATTTATCTTTAAAATACTATCAGAAATGCATTGTGCAATAGTAACTATAATAAATTGCAAAACCCAAATACTCACATCCTGTTGAATAATTATGATATCTTCACCATTTTCAACTTGAAGTTGAGGAACTATTGGGAGAGCATCCTGAGATGCTGACATGGCCATGGCAATAGCTAAAGCTTCCTCTTCTTCAGCTTCCATTTTTTCCTTGCATTTCTGATTATGATTCACATCATCTTTGTACGTGTTATCATTTTCTGCACGCTCAGGAGACAAGACAGCTACTTCAGATTTGAATGTGACAGTTCCATCACTGGCTGGAGCTTCAAGTAAGTCTTCCATACTAGAACTGAGTTCTGCATTAATATCCAGTTGGCTATGTTTTTCTTCCACTGGGGTGAAAACAGTATCTTCACTTGGTATAGCTGTACTAATACTATTATCACATGGTGATATGTCGTTTAAATTAAGTGACATGCTATTTTTGGAGGTTTCCCCCTGTTTATTCACATCACACGGTGTAGGTCGAGATGGCTTTGGCCTATGTATATGACTGAATGGCAGAGGCCTGGCCTGGGTAAAAACAGGGGAAAGCTTTTCCAATTCTTTTTGTTCAGCACAGTTTCTTTGAATCTGGAGAGAGAGCTTCCGCTGCATTTGAGGAGAAGCCGAAGGTATTTTATAGGGAACAAATCCCTGAGATCTGAGTTTAGGAATATCAGTTCCTGCAGGTACAGATGGGGTAGAGGGGGAAGGCAAAATAGGGAATATATTTTGGGAATGACCGGGTGAGAGAGAAGAGTTCAAGCATTGACCAGGGGATCTGCTTTTTGTCTGAATGGCTGGCTTTGGTTGTTCTGTTGTTCCTGACAAAACAGGAAGTCCCAATGAAATACCAGCCATTGTGTCAGAAATGTCCTCCGGTGTAGCACTTCGCTTTTTATTATCTAGTCCTTTCCCACTTTTACCTGTGAACCGAATTGTGTTATTTGGAGTAGTATTCTCCATCATCTCCGGAGAGTTATCAGGAACTGGAGGCTGTGCAAATTCATGCCTGCATTCCCCAGAATGCCTTTGCTCCATGCCTAACTGGATGGCTTCTGCAATTTCCATTTCATCTGCTATAGCCATCAATCGCCGACGCATTCTTGTATGATGTATTGAGCTTGTCATGCTCAACATTTCTAACAGTTTTACAAATACTTGGGGTACTCTTGCAACCATTCTGGCAGCGCTTAAAAATATTCTCCGGGACAATTTGCCCACCATTGAATGGGAGTTGTCAATTGACTGCAGCGCAAAGCTCAGTAGAGATAACAGCTTTTTATACCTAAAAATGAATACAAAGCTGTTAATTTCCACTTATTTTTCTGAAATATCTTTTTAAATAATCAGCATTTCAAGAGAAAATTGTTTAAAGACAGATTTTAACATAAGACTTTCTAAGCCAGCTATCATTTTGATACTAAAGAGCAACTTTTTAAAAGCAAGTTTTTCTAAATTATTACCTGTCAATGATAGCATCAACTTGTAAAATATCTCCACTGACAATGTGGGGATAAAATTCACCAGGGAATTCTAACAGCAATCTATCTATAAGACAAAGACGTCCAAGTAATGCTTGCCAGTTGTTTGATTCAGATTGTGTCCCAAGGATGCAATTTAAGACAAAATCAATACCCCCAATGCCAATGGACCCTGCAAGAAAAGATTAAAAAAAGAATTAATGGAAGTATATTATTTGAATTGGCAATTGGAGTCTCTTATAAGCCAGTTTCCTACACATAAAGTTGTTTTATGTGAACTAATTCTAAGTTTCTAAATTCATTGTTTTTAAAAAAAGTATAATGAGCAGATTTCTCATTCCCAAAATAAAAGATATTGGATGTACTTGAATGAATCCATATTGCCATTCCTTCTGTTGGAAACTTGCATATAAAGTTACTCATCGCAAAACTATTCCAAAGGTGTAAATGCCATTAGAAGGATTAATGCTATGATCACATATTAAAGAGACGAAAACATTAAAAAAGCTGATCATTCTGTATAGAATTCAATAAATCCAGATACAATCACTCAGAATTTTAGTATTGCCATCCTTTAAAATTCACACAAGGCTACATACACATGCATATCAAGTTCCCCAATTACTACACTACCGAATTTGTTTATACTTATTTTTCTTTCATTTTCTTACTCTTATTCCAAATTCTTCTGCCCATCTACTCTTATTCTTTGAGCAATATCCATTTCAACAAGATTTTATTTTCACATCAATTATTCTTTTATTATATTTAAAAACAGTACATTATTTATCTGTTAGATTTTTATCCCACTTTTTTCTATGTTTCTCCCTCCTCTTGTTTCCTATACAGCAACAATCTGGTGAAGGAAGTAGGGTCAAAGTAAGTACTTCATGGCTAAGGATGGCTCTCCTTTTGTAGTTTTTTTCCCTGCACAATATTTATAGCCTATAGCCTACATCTTCCATTGCAAACTAGTTTGTTATGTTTGCAATTACCAACATGCTAGTTCCTAAAATCCTTATTATGCATATGTAGAGAATGCTTCTTATACATTTTTCTTCTTTCCTGCCTTTAAAAGCAACTCTATTCTTTTTTTTACTTTGTTCTTCTTTATTTCTATTTATTCCTACTATGAATTCCTCTTTATTGACAAAACATCCCCTATGCATTATTTTATTTCTTAATATATCTTGCAAATATCTGAGCCAGTTAAATACAAATCTCTATTACATTGAGATTTTTATAAACAGCATTTTGGAAAATTAATATAGCTGTTTATGCGTTAATTGATATAAAAATTATGTCCAGCCCTTCTTACTGCCAGATTTTCAAATTCCAATTAAAGTTTAAGTATCTATAGCATTCACTCCGTTTTACTGTTAATCTTAAAACCTAAGTGAAATTTGATTTAGTTGGAAAATAACAACAGAGCTGTAGAAATATCACAACACCATATTAAACTGCCAAATTGATTTTATGTGTTCAAATAAATTGCATTTTCAAATAGATTTGGCAGATTTATGTTTGTACATATCTTTTAAACTAAAAATTCAAACCAAATCTCAAATTGCTGTAGGCTAACTCATACATCTCTAGGAAGTAGTACTTATAGGGTGCATGTATTCCTTAAATCCATTTGGACACTTGGTGACTACATGGATAAGTTCACAAAATTTTATTGGCGACATTTTCTGAAGCAGTTTGTTCTAGCCTTCTTTGTAGAGCTGAAAGAAATTGACTAACCAAAGACACCCAATTGGCTTCATACCTAAGGTGGAACTAAAACTCAGTGTCATAGTTTCTAGTCCAGTGCCATTAACTGCTACACTATATTGGTAATGTTACTTAAGTAAGAAGAACATGAAGTTTACCAGACTTAAGTATTTCTCGACCAATTGCCAACTCTCCTGCTTGACCTTTACACATTTCCATCAATGTTGAAACTGACAGTTGGCTTGTGCGGCTGTAAAAAGAAGAAAGAAGTCTCTGTTTTATAAAATAAAAGGATGAATAAAGCTCAATGAATACATTATAAGTAATTGTCACTGTTCTCTTAACAAAGTAATTCATTTTGTTAAGAACCATAAGATTGCTGAACAATCACACCAGAGCATGCCAGGATTGCAGTCATTAAACAAAGCAGTCACATGACATTTCACTTAATAACTGTTTTGCTCAGCAATGGTGATTCTGTCCCAACTGTGGTCATACAATGAGACTACCGAACTATCCGGCGTATAAGGCGACCCGGCATATAAGACGACCCCCGACTTCGGCACCGATTTCCATGCCTAGAAAGTCATCTTATCCGCCGAAAACTACCGTAATTTCCGGCATATAAGACGACTCGGCGTATAAGACGACCCCCGACTTTCTGCGCTTTAGAAAGTCGTTTTAGATTTCTGATTTCTGCGCTTTAGAAAGTCGTCTTATACGCCAGAAAATACGGTACATGAACCTTTTAATCCTGGTTTATTATTTATTGGTAGTAATTCCTACAGAAAAATTTAATGTAATATATCAGTATTGTAGTATGTAACAATATCATGTTAACATATTACTTCTTTCTAGTTTGTTTTTTTATAACAGTTTTCATTTTTTCAGCACAAATATGCATTCATAAAAGAACTGCATGCAAATTAACCAATGTCTAATTTCCACTTGAATTTGTCCATATACAATAAAACTAATACAAACAATCCTGAAGATAGTAATCTAAAATATTTAAATAGATTAAAGCCTATACCTGTTGGGATCTGCACATTTCACCAATATGGTTTCCACAACTGGTTTTAAAAGCTGCTGCAGTTTTGTCCTCTCTGTTAGGCTATGGCAGGGAGTATATACCAGCATGGCTCTCAATGTTTTCTTTAAAAAAAAAAAAAGGAAGATAAATTTAAAAAAAAAAACCTGCATACATTTCTGCAACTAAAAGTTGAACACAGAATAGGCCAACCTATACAAACATAATTTTATGCACAAATTGCTTCTGCCTACAAATCTGTCAATTGTAAAACAATAACCTTTTTGTCATTTAAAGATTCCAAACAAATATTGACATTATTTGCTAAACCAAAAAGGAATAGTTTAATGGGAAGTTACAAGAGTCTACTAGGAAAAGACAAAACCAATTATTAGCTTCCAGACTTTTTAAAGAAATCTGCTCCCAAATGGATGAACTAAATATAGATTCAAGAACTGAATAATATTTAAAGTAAAAAGGAAGTAGTGACATTTATCTTTCATATATACGTGCAACTTAACATTGATAATCAACTTATTTAAGGAACTGATTTCAGCAATACTGCAAAGCAAGAGTACTTCAAATATTGTGCTAAGAATTTGGAAATAGAAAAGTTGGTTCCACTGTGAGTCTTTGATGATTATAGTAACAATTCTTATTGTTTATTGTTTTACACAGAAAAAGCAAAACAATAAACATGCAAAAATATTACAGGACTTGTCAAGTCACTCTACAAATACAGTATATAATAGTTAGTATGGAAATTATTCAAAATATTGCATAACTTTGAGCAGTGGTCTGAATCTTGCCACTAAGAATGATTAATTCGAAAAAAAATATAGAAATTTTCTGAGAATCAGATCGGTTCTATTTCCATTCCGGGAGGACAGGGAAAAAATATTCTAAACAAGCTGCTCAAGAAATAGGCGAAGTAACAAATAATGATGTTTATTTTCTATACTGCTTTATAAGGAACCTTTTTTTTAAACCAGCTATCAAGTACAGTTGATGTCCTAAGTGCAATATTGACTGTTTCCTTCTGCCCATAAAAAGGAAATACTGTATATTTAAATGATGTTCACATTAAATTTAATATAGTCTAGAACAGGGGTGTCAAACTGCCAGCCCACGGGCGAAATCGCGCCCAGCCCATTTCCAGCAATGGCAAAAAAGTCGCGATACATCACAACACGTCACATGATGTTGCGAGTTTGACATCCCGGTCTACAAGAACTTGATTTGTATGGAAATAGATACATTTCAGAGGTGAGAATGGAAAAAGGAATATTTCTAGAATTACTGTGAATTTTTAACAATTTGTTTGGAGGGTTTCTGTCTCAAGTAAAAAATTCATATCTCAAATATGCTACCCTATTTCTAAATTCTGAATATGATTTAGAAAGGAAGATTAGAAAAGGATAAATTACTTACTAAAGCAGCAACATACACTTTGTACACAGGGTCAGCACAAACCATAGAAAGTACACTGCAGCAGGATTCCACAACAACATCTCCTGAGATATTTGTCTGGGATGACCCATTAGCTGCCCCTAGAGTTCCAGAACCTGGGGTGTTTCCACTGCTACTTCCAGAATTTCCAGTACTTTCACCATTAGCCAATAATAGAGCACCACTAACATCATGGGAGAGACGTCGAAGGGCCATCTCACGTATATTCCAGTTTCGAGAGAACAGGCAACCTACTAATTCCATTCCAAATACCTAAAAAAATCAACATTACAAGGAGATCCTGATTACAATTACATATTTACATGTATATACACATGTACACTTGAAATAAGCCATTGGAATTCTTGTGACATAGACTACAAAGGGATGTACTGCATGTTTTTAAGAATTCTTATTTTCAATATGTATTGTGAAGCAATGCAGATTAACAAGATCAGATTAATATTGCACTAAACGTTATTTGGTAAAAAGAAGATGCAGTGTCAGGCTGAAATAAAATGTACTAAGAAATTTAGTTCATTAAAAATGCTCTGAAGTAGACTGAATAGATTGAAGTTAGAATGCAAATATTTTCATTTCCATTCTCCAAGGTTGGCACAATTAATGCGGCTCTTGCAGTTGTCTACCATTCAAAAATATGTTTGGACTAGACTGCCAGAAATGGACAAAGAATTCACTGCTATCAAGCAATTTGAAGTATTTTATAGTAATACAAGATCTGGTCACAGTAGCACATCAACCAAATTAGAATAGCTACATATCTCCAAAGTTCACCGTGGTTTTAGGAATAATTAGAAATGACTAATAATAAGACAGAAAAATAAAATGAGAAGACAAGAAATTTAAGTCAAAGAAATTTAAAATTGGCAACTAAAAGCAAGCAACGTAAGATGTAAAATATTATTAACTCTTGATGATATAAGATAGAAGGCTCGACTGCAATAGCTACTCACGTCACATCTAGATGAAGGACATCCAGACAGAGCTTCATCAGGGAGCCTTAGAAGAAATTACTTATGACTTATGGCATGTCCGGGTTTGGCAACTGGTCATCTTTTCATGGTCACAACATTCCATGATCACATGACTGCAATTTGTGTCTTTTTTGCCAGCTTTTAGCAAAAAAAAATGCTTAATGACCACTGTGTTCACTTAACAAGTTTGCAGTGAAAAATGTTAAGAAATAATTCCAGTCATATGGATGCTTCAACTTATGACCATAAAAATTTACACCTGGATTTCCAATCCCAATTGCAATTGTAAATCAAGGACTATTTGTAACTGTCTTGACATCTTCCATAGACATTTACTGTGTATTCATTTTGTAACAATCTGGAAAAACAGATTGGGGGAGGGGGCGACTATCATTTATTCAGGTATTCAAAAAACAAAAAGATATAGTCAGCACCATACATATTTGTGCAGACTGAAATAAAGTGTTAAGTTGTAGCTGACAAAAGAAAAACAGTTTAAGTACGTTTAGAAATTTAGCATACCTGAATCCATGGCTCAGCTAAGTCCTTATAGGCAGAAGGAATTTGCTGAACCCCATAATGAGTGAGGTTAAAATTACTATCTTGATTCCTCCTTGGTGAACCAGTTACAGGTTGCTGAGTTTGTTGCTGGACCACACAAACAATCGAAGGAGAATCAACAGGGCTTGGCAATTCATGACTAAACAAATAATATACAAAAAAATAAATAATGAGTAGATATTTTCAAACTATAAGGAAAATAAAGGATTTAACATGATTTGCATTTTAGTCAATTTGTCACAATTCAATTTCCCAAATAATGTGCAAATAAAATTATGGTTATCTTCAAGATTTAATTCAGCTCAAAAATATGAGCATGTATCTTCTTGTTAAAAAGTATATTCAGGTAAAGCAATATTTTATTGTAGCTTGTAAAAACGTAACAGCTGATTTGGAATTGGGATGGAAGGGGCTTATACACAGACATTTATAATAAACCAACCTGAACTGAAAATAGACTGATGAGGCTTTTAAAACGTTTAGATGTTTAACTCTGCTCATAAATGGACAGCACAACAAATTCAAATAAAATAAATCCTCACCTATAGAAATCATGTGTTCTCCACTTAGATCTACAAAGAGGGCATATAAGAGGCTCCTTGTTTCTTCTACATTCCTCTGCCCCTAAAATTGCATCAAAATCCCCCAAAGAAAAATAGATGGATTCTCGAGTTAGTGGCATAAGAACATTTTAGAACAGAAGTTATTTGGAAATGTGCAAAGAACTTCTACTGTATAACAAACAGACATAGGGAAAACTAATTATATACTTAATCAGGTCTAAAGAATAAAATACAATAAAGGCACAAACAATAAATGTGGGCATTAGCAGTATCAGATCTTTACAAAAAAAATCAACATGAGAAAGTACGTTTAACAGTTCTATAGGCACTACCTAGGCCAGCGTTTCTCACCGTTTGTGTGACGGCGCCCGTCACACGGACGCAGCGCGCATGCACGGGGCCGCCCCATGCGCGGCGCGCATGCGCGGCGCCGCCCCCTGAGGGGAGAAAATGGCGGATCGTGTTGTTTGGTGACCCCCGTAAAATGGTCATTCGACCCCAAATGGGGTCGCGACCCATAGGTTGAGAACCGCTGACCTAGGCTTTGTACCTGCCCACTTAAATAATGATCTCTTTTGTAACTATTTGTTATTTTAAAAAGATAAATAAAACTCATCATTATGATTTATATACTTCTACTCTCCCTTGTACTTTAAAACTGTTCCATAAAGATGTTTATTTCATTAAAATGGATTTCTTCTCTAAGACACTAACTTGTATGAAAAGAATTCCATTAATGTTCAAGCAATTATGATACCACTTAGGACTGCAACTATTTTTGTTTCTCCACTCCTGGCAAGGACCTTCTTTGCTATTATTCCTTAAATCCATTCTTATGATTCAAGTGCATGTATAATATCAGTGACGTACATATTGACATGCAGTGATGGTGAAGTTTATTTCTGCAGCCTTCTTCACAGACAGTCAAGCTTTCCTCATCCAACATGCCTAGCAAACAAATGGGGCACATCTGTTCCTCTTCATCCTTTATACTATAAAAATATATACATATAGACAAATAATTAAAAATCAATTTTAGCAGGTCTCATTTATTTTTATTTTATTTTTTCTTCCAGGTCCAAAACAACCACCACCACCCCCCACAATATTTCAGTACAAAATATATCATTCTGCAAACTGACAGGTATCAATCTTTTGGTGCAGTTTTTTAATTACTCCTGCATAACCTTGCCAATCCACCTACTCTACATTTTCATATTTTTTCCTGTAGGACTGTAAGATCTATGAAGTGTATATTTTGGTGCTTAGCAATTGCTGCTTTCCATAGTCATATGAACACAATTTGTAATGGATTTTGGTGTTTTTCAACAGAAAACACCAAAAATATGCTATGTGGTGACTTGCTTTATGACTGTGGTAGAAATAGTTGCAAAATCAAATCAGATTAATGACTGCTCAACTTACGACCAAGATTCTGGGCCCAATTCTACCTATATTCTCTTCTATTTGATGTAGCCCAGAGTATTTTTTAGCATATATAACTATTTCAGATATGTCCTTGAGTGTTACATTCTTTATAGATTTTAGTTCACCACACAGACTTTCCACATTAACTTCCTCTAGGACAGTGGTTCTCAACCTGTGGGTCGGGACCCCATTTGGGGTCGAACGACCATTTCACGGGGGTTGCCAAACATGGCTGTCCACCATTCCCCCCCCTTTTCTTTGGCCATGCCCCTGGCACCCGGTGATGTTTAAGTGGTTGGGGGTCACCACAACATGGGGAACTGTATTATGGGGTCGCGACATTAGAAAGGTTGAGAACCACTGCTCTAGGAGCCACTCCTCCAGAATGAATATCAATACTATATATATATTACTACAGTATAATGCTACATTAAAGATATCTTCAAAATACCAAGTTAAGTGTCAAATTCATTTGATTTACTTAAACATTTAAACCACCAGCAGTCAAAACTATATGGGCAGTTTACAATAAAGTAAAAAAAGAGAAACAAATACATTTAAAAGAACTGCCTATTATGTAATTCTAAAATATTAATATTATTTAGGAAGAAATAATCTCCCAAATTTAAAATTAAAAGCCTATTAAAGATAGGGAGAAAATGTATTTTAAAATTTGATTACTACAAACAGATAGAAGTTATAAAATAGGTATTTTGAAAGTACATGCAGTAAATTCTTTATATTCTGCAAATTCTTTGCATATTAAATGTTTCTGCTATGGGCATATTAACTAATCAAGGAGAGAAGCAACCTAGAACTAAGGAGAAACTTTCTGACAGTTAGAACAATTAACCAGTGGAACAACCTGCCTCCAGAAGTTGTGAATGCTCCAACACTGGAAGTTCTTAAGAAGAGACTGGACAGCCATTTGTCCGAAATGGTATAGGGTTTCCTGCCTGAGCAGGGGGTTGGACTAGATGACCTGCAAGATCCCTTCCAACTTATTATTATTATTATTATTATTATTATTATTATTATTATTATTATGGATCATCGCACAGTCAGTCAGATGTTCAGACTGGATTTGGCATTTTGTCTACCTATCGAGTCCTTACCCAGGACCTGGGATAGGCAGATGTGGATGTTTGATGGTATTACAGGTATCGTCGCAGGATGGAAGCAGTTCCTAATAAGGCCGCCTTTTGCAATTGACTAATAGCGAATTTGTCAATGCCAATGGTGTTCAAGTGGTGCTCCAGTTGTTTTGGGATTGCACCCAAGGAGCCTATTACTATTGGTACTACCCTTGCTTGCTATTGCCACATTCTTTCTATTTCTATTTGTAGGTCTTTGTATTATCATCATCATCATCATCATCATCATCATCATCATCATCATCATCATTATTATTATTATTATTATTATTACTATTATTATTATATTCTTTCAGGGGATCACAATCATATAAGAAATATTTTGTTCCAGAATTCATTTCCAGCTATCAGCATTCATCTTTTTTCAAACTGCCATTGTGCTTAATCTATTCACACAAGTTTGTTTAATACAGATACAGTATTATTTCCAAAAACTTCTTACTGATGGACCAGCTTCTATCTGTGGAATGGGGAGAATAAAGATTTCAATATTTACTCTTAGGGGAATTACAGACCCTCCAGAAAAAGATTTTGGGGAACACAGTGAAAAGAAGACATTAGAAATTTTTTGCATAGTGTTAAATTGTAAGTTTTGCCAGAGTTTTGGATTTAAAAGGGAAAGATCCTTCAGAGCATGCAAGGTCTTTCACACAGGATCTACTGACATCTCCTTATTAGCTGTGTCTTTTCATAGGATTCCAGGGCTATGCCAACTCCCAAATATATGGTTCAAGAAATTAGTAACAGATAATAACTTATACTTGAAGCATCTTGGGATAGAACTCTATCTTTTGTTTTACTGTAACGTTACAAATGTTACACAGTAAATAAATGTATTCTGACAGTGAGAAAATAAATTAGAAAATAAATTAGAGACATAACCAGCATGTAAATATTTCAGTTAAACCAACTGAGAAATCAATGCTCATTTTTTGTATTTGAGCATGAGAATTTTAAATACTGTAAGTAAATACAATTCCTTTCCAGAGCTCTGGTAAATCACTTCTCATTTTTATGTAGAGATTCAGAGATGGACAAGTTTTGTTTCCTTAGGAGCTACAATATGTGCCTAGAAGCCAAAAGTTATTTTCAAACATAATACTCATATCAATATTCTACAACTTTAGTTTGTAAACTTTCCTTATGAAAGTATTTTGAGTCATTTTTATTTATTTATTTTGTTACTGCCATCCATTCTAGTGGACTCTGGGCAACTTAGAAAAAACAATATGTGGTTAAAACAGCTAAAACATGAAGAATATGATATAGCCCAGCTGAGAAGAGACTGAACAGCCATTTGTAGGGTTTCCTGCCTGAGCAGAGGGTTGGACTCAATGACCTCCAAGGTCCCTTCCAACTTTATTACTATTACTATTACAATAATAATAAATATTTTGACAGAAATTTAAAAGTATTGGGGGCAAAATTCATTTGAGTTTCAGATTTAGCTATACCTATTCTATTTCTGATAGTTAGCTAATGCTATTTTTCCATTCTTTGGATAGTTTATAAATAGTCCTCAACTTATGACCAAAATTGGGACCACAACTTCTGTCACTCAGAAATCTGGTTAAGTGCCCATCGTAAATACATGCTGGTTGCCAAGCACCCAAGTTGGGATCCAATGTCAACGTAAGTGCAAGGACAGGTCATAAGTCACTTTTTCAGCACGGTAACAACTTCAAACAGTTGCTAAATAAATGGTCTCAAATCAAGGACCACCTGTAATAGTTTATTTTTAAAAGCTGAGATATTCTTAAAGACTCTATTACATTTTAACAGCCTCTAATCATGCACACAAAACCTTCTTGTGTATACTAGCTCTTTAAGAAAACATCCCTGTGATTACAACAGTAGGCCTCTACTTAGAAATGTCGAAAGACATCTTCCAAAATAAAAGGAAATAAAGAGAACAAACAGAAATATTGCCCAAAACATAGTAACAAACAAAAATAAATTAGTCCAAACTTCATACTTAGGTCTCAATCTATTAGGAAACAAAACAAAATAAAAACATTGACTTAAAATGACTGTCCAAATAGAAATATTTTACCTTTTTTTTAATATGACAAATAAAGCAAGTATCTACCTATACACTACAAAATTCTCAGTGTGTTTGTTTCTATTTTTGTATCTTCAAGTTAGTGCATTCACAATTTTGGTGAAGGTATCAAAAATCCGCTAATTTAAAGAATAGCAATAGCACTTAGACATATATACAGCTTCATAGTGCTTTACAGTCCCCTCTAAGTAGTTTACAGAGTCAGCATATTTCCCCCAACAATCTGGGTCCTCATTTTACCAACCTTGGAAGGATGGAAGGCTGAGTCAAGCTTGAGCCAGTCAGAATCAAACTGCTGGCAGTCGACAGAATTAGCCTGCAATACTGTATTCTAACCACTGTGCCACCATTAAAAATCTGGGACTCATTACTCCTGTGGAACTGAAATTTCCATGATGTTCAGACCAATTTTATTTGCAAAGTTATGGGCACTGCAGTGTCCCTATGGTCATATGATTGTTATTTCCTATGCTCCCTGCTAGCTTCCAAAAAGCAAAGTCAATGGGGAAGCCAGAAGAAGGTCACTCCCATTCCCACTTCTTTTTTGCCCACCCGTTTGATGGCAATACAGTTCAGGGAAATTTAATGTACATTCTGGTCATTTCACACTACACTCTCAAAGGATGACCCAATGAGTCAGGGTTATCTATTTATAAAAATAGAGACTATTTTGAACAGTAGTACTGATTTCTTAAGAATAATTACTAACCTATTTTCTGAACTAGATGTAGATGTACTAGAAGATGACAGTGTATGAGAGTTTGACATTCGTGAGACAAACTTCTGAATGGTGTTACGAGATGGTGCTTTGATCCTTGAACTACGCCTATTATGGTATTTCTGGAACAAACTCTCAACCTAACATTGGAAGAAAATATTAATAGGCAGTGTTAGAATATGAACTACTCAAACTTGAAGTCTCTTAAATAAATATATAATTGCAGCAGAGTATAATGTAAAATTATATTAATTTACTTATGTATATAAAATAACAGCATACTATAAATACCAACTATGGTATGGGTGAATTCTATAAATGATATCTTTTGTAATTACAGACACGTTCTCTCTTTTTTATTTATGGGAATGCAAACACAGAAGTTGAATTTTGCCAAATTCTATTTTAGATGTGAGAATTAAATATGTTCAATGTTCATAATTTTCAATTTGACATAAACTAATGATGCTACCCCCTTACAAACAAGCAAAATACCATATAACTTAAATAAACTATATTCATAAAATAATACATGAATAATAAGGCCAACTTTTTACCATTGTTTAACAGCTACATGACATCATTCTGATCTTTCTCTTGGTTAATGGATATATTACAGCAATAATCAGCCAGGACTAAGGATAACTAAGATAACTTTTCCACATTTAAACATCTATATATTTAAGGGAAAAAATAGCCAATAGCAAATATAAATGTCTATATAATATAGGGAGAAAGTAGTGCTTATTGTAAAGGTTTTTTTTTTAGCTAACCCTGTTCAATTCCAGTTATTAAAATGGAGAAATAATAATAGAGAATTTATTCAGGGAATTCTACCCATTTATTTGATATTGGAATAATGCTCATTATTAACTAATTTTAGAAATGAGATGATCATATTTTGGTAATTTTGAAACCGCAGAAATTCTATATGGTAAATTTCAGAAGTCACAACTGTCTATTTGTGACAAAAGAAATACGATGGAACTACCTCAAAGTTCTTCAAGGTTTTTCGCCACAGCATTGGATCTGAAGATTCAAGTTGAAACACTCGAAGCATAACAAACAGGAGATGAATACAGAATGTTCCACGCCCACAGCTACATGTCTGTAAACAGAAATGTATTTATTGCGGTTATTATGGGCATATTATATTGTTTTTATAATTTTCCCCCAAATCACTTCTTACAGATTTATGAGGATTATGTTTCTGCTTTCTTCAAAATAAGAAATAACTGATTAATGATGGCTTTATTCTTTCTAAACTACTCTTGTGCTGATATAATCAACATAGCATTCATATAGCTGTTTATATTTCACTGATACTTTGTCAATGCCTATGTTCTGATTTATGCAAATAAGAATTAAATAAAATATGTCAAGCAACTTCTGGAAAGCAAGAAAATTATATGGAGCTGAGGTGGCGCAGCAGTTAGAGTGCAGTACTGCAGGCCACTTTAGCTGACTGTGTTCAGCAGGTCAGCGGTTCAAATCTCACCGGCTCAAGGTTGACTTAGCCTTCCATCCTTCCGGGGTAGGTAAAATGAGGACCCAGATTGTTGGGGGCAATGTAAATATAAATATATATATACATTGCTTACTGGTGTACACTGCTTAGAGAGTGCTTGCACTTAAAGCGGTATATAAGCCTCATAAATAAATAAATAAATAAATAAATAAATAAATAAATAAATAAATAAATAAATAAATAAAATGTTTCAAGATTTTCACATGTTGTCTTAAACCTAGTGAGGTAATTTTAATTAAATCTTCTGAAATGAGTTTATTTAATAGTTATTGATTAAATAATCAATACAGTTTCAATTCATACCTGAGGACCAATGAACACTCTGTATTTATTATCTGGGCTGTCTCCCCCTATCAAGAAAGAATTAGGTCCTATTTGTTGCAAGAGATACAGTCTAGCTCTCATAACTTTGTTGACACGACGATTGGTTTCCTCAGGACTATATGGTGAGAAGCCATCTGGAGACGGTGCTCTTCGTGGGGGTGTTATACGTCCACTCTGAAACTTAAAATTAATTTTATTTTCAGTAATTTTTGTCTGTACTTTTCATATTCCCATTCCTCGATCTTTCTAAGAAATTCAGCTATATCCTTCCAAACTAGTATATGTACAAAATAATTAGATAATAAGAAATGGTAACAGTTCTTCCACTAAATACTATAAAAATTACTACTTCTATGCTTTTCTCTCAGAAATAAAGCCAGTAGTAATATGTATTCCTCCTACAAATCTATACAATTTAGAGTACAATAATCCAATGCAGTTTAATCAATCAGAAATTAAAACAGCAAAAACTGGCAAAATATAGTAAGGTAAAATGAGTTTACACTACAGAAAACATAACTAAGACACAATTTAATGTCCATCAAGCCAAAGGCTTGCCAATTCAAGATGGGTCAACTGATATGGAAGAAGATATGAATTTCGTATCATAAGCTTGGGCTATCCCATAATTACTTACAGGTACAGGAGATACCCTTTTCCTTCTAACACCAGGTGACTCAGATTTAACTGTCCTGGAGGAGGATGAGAAGGGTCCATTAGGAGAAGGGCTCCGTCTCCCTTTCTGAGTAGGTGAAGTGGGATTTGTTTGTCCATCAGGAGGAGGTTCTGTTGTCGATTTGTTTGTTTCACATCCGTCTCCTTTTATTGGTATTGGTTTTACCACCTTGGAAAAATTGGAAAAAATGTCTCCTTTTTCCAAATGAAAGCAAATATTCTCATTAAATTGTAGATAAATGGAGGGAGGGGATTTCCACCAAACAGTTTTTCTTGATGCTAATGAGCATTTATTTTTAATTAGTTAAGTTGAAATTATGAGAACATTTACATTATGAAAATCTAGTAATAGTGATGGTATTCACAATGAATCCAGTTTTTCTCATAGAATGTGCAGCATCGCATAATTATTATAGTTCTTCTACTCAAGTTTAATAAATTATTATTATAATTTATTAAATTCCAAGAAAACAGCACTGATTTCTTCAATATTTGGTAAGCAAAACTGTGTCCCAAATTGTCTTGAGTTTTACATTTTGGAAAACTTTGCCTCTTTCACTATATAGTCATCAATTACACAGGCATGTTATACAAGCAATATTAAAACTCACATTGTTTTATTGTAAACATAATAAATGTGGAATAGAAATAAATAAATATAAATATAATTCCTTCTAGTTTTTGTAATCACAACTTATTTCAACTAATGAAGCAGAAAGTAAAATGCTACCCAGAGAGGGCAGTGTTGTGTCATTTTAAGCAACAGAAATGTAAGTTGGGTTTGACTTTGCTGGCATTGCAGATCTGTCCAGTGAAAACAGCAACATGAAAAAAGTGAAGCAAGAGGAATTTCATTACCATTCCTTACAGTACCAACTGTATGGTAATATAAGATAAGAAAGTAAATTCTGTACTTTCAGCAATTCTTCTTTTTAAGTGATTTCAGAGTTACTTACCACAGGGCCTCTCCTACTTCTTCTTTCTAGCCATTCATGCTTCCAAGCGGGCATACATGTTGCCTTGAGTTTTTCCCTGATCATTCGCTCCTCTGGGCGATCATCCATTTTCTGCAGTCCCCTGAGGGTTTCTTTATTCTCCATGTCACGATTACAGCTGAAATGAAAAGCAAAAACTAGATACGTGATTGTCAATAAACATACTGAAATGCGGCAGACTTTAAACTAAACTAATTTATTCCATCAAAACCCCTAAACCAAACATGTCAAACACAAGGCCCGGGGCCCGGATGTGGCCCGCGAAGCCATCCTGGAAACAATAAGGGAATGGCCCCCGCTGCCTTGGCCCTGGCCCAGGCTGGTCGGGAGCCAATGTACAATTTTGTGGTGGCCATCTATGCTGAAATGCATTTAGTCTTAGCTCCCCAAGGCCGCCTGGAAACAGTGAGGAACCAGCCCCTGCTACATCAGCCCCGCCCCCTGGGGCATGCTGGGAAGGTGACACATCCCCACATCCAGTTGTGTTTCTTGCCTGTTTTTCTTCCTCCTTATCTCAAATATTTTCCCACCACTCTGTACTTAGGAAAGAAGGAAAGAAGGAGGGTCTGAGGGAAGTCCTACCTTAGTCCTGTCCTGCTGCCCTTTCACCATCCCCTTGCCCCCTCCTCCTGGCCTATCCTGGGGGTCTCCCATCCTATTGCTAAGGAAGCTTTAGATACAAAGCCGGGTTTCCTCCCATGGAGAGGGTGTGGGCCTCCCTCTGACTTTGCCCTTGTACCCATCATGAGCAACCTGGGTAAGGAGAGCAAGCACAGCAATAGCAGCCTTGAGGAGGAGGTAAGTGGAGCTGGGCACCCCCTTGGGGAAGTGGGGCTGGGCTTGGTGCCGCGGGTGCTTGAGGGCCAGGCTGGGCGTTTGATCTCTGCTGCCCAGGGCTCTGGGCAGCCCCTGCCACCATCCAGCCCCCCCCCTGCATGGCCTGAGAGGAACAGTGAGGGTCCTTCAGTATACCATACCTTGGCACTTGCACTGGTCCCACCCCCTTCTGCCAGAGTCCCTCAGATCTGTCCCACTCCTGCCCAGGCCCCCACAGGCCCCTTTGACACGAATGATGTAGAGCTCACCACGCCCATCCAGTGGGCCACACCCAATCCATCCACGCCTACCCAGTAGACTGCACCCACCCTGGCCACACCCACCCAAGGGCAACTGCAATGCTGATGAGGCCCTCAATGAAATTGAGTTTGACACCCTTGCCCTAAACCATTGACTTCCAGTACCAGGAACAATACATTAATGCTTCAACATAATTTCCTGCCCTTCTTCTTAGAATTATTAATTAAACAAAATGAAAATGCTCTTTGCCTTTAAAAATACATTTAAATAGATCCATAAATTATGCCATCTTACAACTGATAATAAACTTTTGAAGAGCCTTTAACATGAGCAGAACTGGAGAGAAAGACATGCTCATCAAGTAAAGAGGTAGAATTATTGATATGGCATATATTTTATGCTTCCAAAATAAGTTTATAACAGATTTGAAAAATCAAACCCTAACCCTAAATAATGGTGTATTATGGTTGGATGGGGATACATATCGTATTCATATTTCTGATATGCCCACCCATTGGACAAGGCAGTTCAATGCAACCCATCTGGAGGCCACTGAATGCCATACTCCCAGACCAAGGAAAAGATTAGTTATGAAGAAACATATGCCACCAGGAAAACAATAAAACAGATTTAACTGTTTTACCACGTTCATATGATCAAAATTTGGGCACTTGGCAACCAGCATGTATTCATCTCCATCGCAGTGTCCTGAAGTCATGTGACCATCATTTTTAACCTAGTCAGGGGCTTTCATTAAGGACATGGGGGAAGTTGGATTTGTTAAAGACCATGGTTAAAAAAAAGATTGTAAAATAGGGCACAACTTGCTTAACGATTACGTTGCTTAGCAACAGAAATCCCAGTTGTGCTTGCAAGTTGAGGACTACCTGAATTATTTGTCTTGTATTTAATAGTACAAGTAATAATTTCCCTTTATTATCAAATTAAAATTCATAATGTTGGAGACTGGATCTCGCTGAGAAAGCAAGTTACACACCAAACACTTAAGAGAATATACACTGAATGCTCCAAAACCAATCTCTGGCACACCTCTTCAAAACCCCAGATACTGGGAAGAAAGAATGTCTACTTTGTTTGAAATATTCTCCTAGTTATAATTTAACTGCTGACATGCCTCAGTTATGGGTTCATCATCAACTAATAATTTATTTAAGCATTCTGAAATGTGATACTAGCTTGTATTTCACTCACAGTTTTATACTTAGGCTATTGTTATTTTGCCTCTGGTCTATTTTTATTGCAAAGTAGTATTATGCTTTCATAAAGAATAAACTAGCTAAAACAATTAAATTCCATTTCTCCTTCTGTACCAAAATACACACTCCCCAAATGTTTGAACAGACTTTAAATTGCATGTACTCTTTCAAGCAAAAACCAAGTTGCTTCCTGTCATGTGAGAGTAAAACCAATTTGTTCTTGCTTTTTAAAAAAATAACTCTGTCTGCTTATCTATATAAGCTCTGAAGCATGAACTACAAAATAACAAGTTTTTAGTCAGGCCTCTACGTAGCAGATTACTTCAAGAGGCACTGAAATAATGTTTATATACTGCATAAAGCCTTCCATGATTTGCTTACACACACATACACACAAATACCCTAAAATAAATTCATCAGATAAAATAACTACAGCTCAATATAATGGCAAGGTAAGTTTATTCCACTATATTATTCCATCTCAACAAATACATGTGTGCCTACTTATTACTTCAATACTTTGAAATTCAGCCCTGGCATGATGTAGGTATTGGTAGAGTCTGATTCATATATTTACATAGCTGATAATCAATTTGTACTTCCCCGAAAATGTGAGATTTACAGTTTTGAGGTTTCAATAGACAGATCACAAAATGCAATAGCCTTAGTTATTCGTGGCCTGATAACCTTCAGATTATAGCAACCTGCTGATTGAATAACTAATTTGCTTATTTGATGGTTTTTTGCTGATTACAACAGATGGCTATACGACTATGCAGGAAAATATGCAACCTAGTTCCTTACAGCTAGCTATCTTGGGGCCTCATTTTCCATCTTATCCAACTATGCATAATTTCATTCATATTCACAAAATTCCATGTATATCAGATCTATTGCAAAATTTTCAGATAGTCTCACTTAACATTTGATGACCAAAATCACAAAAGACTCAAAAATAGTTATTTATGATCTTCCGCTAAGCTACAACCCTCACATACCCCATGCAGTCATGTGATCTTATTTCAGGTGCATGGCAACAAGCTTGCATTTACAATCATTGCGGCATCCCAGTCACATGACAGCAATTTGTGATGTTTATAACAAAAAACACCCATCTGAGAGAATGGATTCGCTTAATGATCATGTGCTTTGTTAATGACCATAGGATTCACATACCAACCATGTGATTTTGCTTCATAAAAATGGTCATAAAATATAGTCAGGTCACCCGCTTAATGTCCCTAACAGCTTACAACCATTTTAAGAATATGATGCAATCCCCTGGAATATTATCAGTTTTCCCTTATCAAATCATGCTTATCATTCACAGGCAGGCAATTCAACAAACAAACTAAATATTAATATTTAAATATTAAACAGGTTAATATTGCAGATTTTTAATTATATATTTACAGAATTGTTAGACTGAACTGTAAGGCTACAAAAAAAACCATTCAGGATTATAAGCCATCTTTACAATGTAGTTATAATAGCAATGTTATGTTAGAGATTTTTCACACATGCCTGGAACTTCAAATTGCATTTCCCACAGGAATAGTTCAGTTAACTTCTGTTAATATCATTATATTTCCAAATAATGTATGTGTCATGGAGACATTACAGCTAACATGATATTCAATGATTAAAAACGGAACCCTATTATAACATCTGGGAAAACTTTCTATGTAAGAATGTGTGTGGAAATCACTATCACAAATAGTGCATAAAATATATAATTAATACAATTGATAAGTAGTAATAATAATCGATTATTAAACACAATCAATCCTGGTTGAAAATGGTGGGAATTCTAAACACATCTACAAAGCACCACTTTGGGAAGGACTTAAACACAGCATCTAAACAAACTATTCTCAAAAGTGCTTCTTCTTCTTGTGCCATATCCGTTATTGGACGTTGGTGATCATGTTGGCGATCCTGTTTTTATGAGCAGCTGCACGAAAAAGTGCTGCTGAGTTTTGTCCAAACCAGTCCCTTAGATTTTGAAGCCATGATATTCTTCTTCTGCCTGGACCTCGTTTGCCTTCAATCTTTCTCTGAAGGATTAAATGGAATATGTCGTATTTTTCTGGGTGTTGCATCACATGTCCGAAATATTCTAATTTTTGTTTTTTAATTGTTTTGATGATTTCCCTTGGCTTTCCCAAGCAGCTTATCACCTCCTTATTTCTGATCTTGTCAACCCAGTTTATACATAACAGCTGCCTATAAATCCACATTTCAAATGCTTCTAGTCTCTTCAGGTGGCTTTCTGTCAGAGACCAACTCTCTACTCCATAGAGCAGGATAGAAAAAATATAGCATCTGACAAGCCTGGTTTTCAGTCTTAGGCTTATGTCGTGACTGCAGAAGACCTTTTTCATTTTGAAAAATGCTGTTCGAGCTTTCTCTATCCTTGTCTTTACTTCAGTGGTCATGTCCCAGGTTTCATGTAAATTAGAACCGAGGTGCGTGATCCTTTCAACTTTTTTTAGTGGTATTCCTTCTGAATTTATTGGTGGTAAATTAACGGGTTGTTTGCTAACGACCATGATCTTGGTTTTAGAGGTGTTAAGCTTCAAGCCGTATTTTTCAGATATTTCTGTGACTCTATTGATGAGGAGCTGAAGGTCTTCATGCTTACTGGCAAGCAGAACTGTATCGTCAGCATATCTTAAGTTGTTGATCAAAACACCATTTACTTTGATGCCAGCATCGATGTTCTCCAGTGCCTCGTTGAAGATTGACTCAGAGTAGAGTGGAGACAGAATACATCCCTGTCTGACTCCTCTTCTTATTTCTGCATCAGCTGAGTATTTTTGGC